AATAAGTTTAAAACTAGTCTTTCTCATCTAAACCACCAAGTTTAATTGCAACAATATTCGTGTGTTGACTTCGTCAGCTGCAATTTAGAGTAAAAATAAAGGAATGGCACTGCTTTTTATACAAACACTGGAGAAGAAAAATTCAGTCATAATGGACGAAAAGGCAACATAAGAGAAGTCTAGCTAAGAAAGGAAATAAACAACACGTAACGCTACTCACTCTGGGTGACATCGCGCGTCAGGCCAACGCTCGAGTGGAACCCGAAAGGGAAGCGGCGAGTGGGACGTCCAAGGGTGAAATGGAGGAGATCGTGTGAAGAGGAGTTGAAACAGTATGGACTAACATGGATGCAGGTGAAAAGTACAGCAGAAGATAGAAGCAAGTGGAGACGTGCAGTTGAAGCCCTATTTTCCACTAGGAACCCAAGGGAACAATAACAATAATAACGCCACTCACTAACTGAATATACATAAGGCAGGATGGAAACTATCAAACTGGTAAGATTTTGCAAGTAGTATATTGTGTGATGTCTTCTGTAAGAATACTGAATAGTGGAGGGACGGAGTGGACAGTGAGGAGGAGAAATGAAGATCTTGGTGAGACAACAAAGAAAACATGAATGGAAGACAAAGAAGCACAAATTTTGGGAACATATGCAAATGATGATGTCAATGAAAGGTGTATGTGTTTTGCCATATCTATATATTAACCACTACACAAAAATACGACCACTTTCTGGTGTTACATTTGGTGTCATTGAATTTGTCCCTCTCCGCTATTCAATATTTATTGCAAAAAAACATCGCAAGCAATTTACTACTTACAAAATCTTGTCAGTAGTACCCGCCAGTGCTTTAGAAAATCAATAAATTAGCTATTTATAAAGTGAAGAGAAACACACAAAAGTATCTGTACAGAGTAACACACTCAGCTTGTTACATATGCACTAAAACCATAAACGTTTTAGTGATTATTGATTAAGGACTACTTGTAAACACTCAGTTCTAATATAGAAAATATTTGAATTAATTAGGTATTTTAGTAGGCTGAAAATAACACTCACTCACTCACTCACTCACTTATACATATTCACTAACATTTAAAGCTTCAGATCAATAATGTGAACTTCATACAAGATATAAACACTAGTGATAAATTCTTGACACGTGAAAACTTAGAACACTACAATATTTTTCTTAAAAATATTACAGATGAATGTAGATTAAGATGAGCTACTTTTCAAAAGGCTGGGGATACATATAATTAGAATAAGTAACGAGTACATAGATTCCCCTAGATGTAATTCAGAGTAGTACTTCTTAGAGTCAGTCTCCAAATGTTGATTTTTGAAATCAGGTAGCCTGAATTACACAGACAAATTCTTAAATTTTCAAGCGTTGATTTGTGAGGATTAGATTTCTTTTTCTAGTTTGACCACAGATTGACATCACTTAAAGAACCATTGGAAACGAGTACTGAACAGCCGTTTCGTCCTAGTTTTTTTGGGAATCGTCAGCAGTACGCATCCACTGGGATTCAAACCCAGGACCTTCCAGTTACAAGGCAAAATCATAAACCATTCAGTCACTGAGACCCGATCCAATGGCCAGTGCATGAATTCTAACTTCTACCAATTCATGATTTAGCGCAGCCACCGACCAATGTCATCGGTGGGAAATCCATCCGCACTTCTGACTGGATGGACCTTACTGGTCACGACTTCTCACTAGAATTCCAGGAAAATTCGTCCTGTAGTAAGTCGCTAGCGAGCATCAGATCAATTTTCACGAGTTGATTTGTTTTTGGAGTTAGAACAGTGAGGTCCATCGAGTCGGGAGTGAGAATAGATTTTCCGCCGATGACATTGGTTGGTGGCCGCGCTAAAATCACGAATCGGTAGAAGTCAGAATTCATGGACTGGCCATTGAATCGGGTCCCAGTGGCTGAATGGTATACGAGTTCACCTTGTAACCGGTAGGTCTCGGATTCGAACTCTGGCGGTGGGTGCGTACTGCTGATGATCCTAAACTAGCATGAAGCAGCTGTCTAGTTCTCCCTGGTTTTCAATGGTCAACTGAGTGATGTTAATCCATGGTCAAACTAGAGAAATTCTTAAATGTTTCACTTTATCACCTCGATTAGTCTTCTAATCTGAAACTACCGTTTTGAAACGTGTGCGCATCGGTAAATAGGTTAAACTAACTAGTCTAGAGAACATCCCCCAGATACCTTTGGCGCACAAAAGTATCCTCAAGAAACTGACTTTTTTTGCTAATATGAAAATACAACTTTATCCATAACATCGTTCTCCTAGTACCTTCACCACATCCAACTTCCACTAAAAGGTTCTTGAGCATTTTAGCGATCTTCAAGTACAGCAGAGTTAGGTGCATAGCGGTAAGTACCCAATTCCTGATAGATGAAATATTTCATCACCACCGATAATAACAAACTTATGGGATAAAAAAGAAAACACTTGATATTTGCATGGGAATTCAGTTAATTAGCAGTCCAAGAAGGTGAATACTGCTTCAGGGCTGGACTACGTCAACTCCTAGCTTAGTGATAGGGAGCGAAGTGATAGAACATGTTGACCACTTCACCTATTTGGGAAGTTGTATCAACACCAACGGACTGATTGGCGACGAAATCTCAGCACGGATCCAAAAAGCTAGAGCTGCTTTCGCTAACTTACACCGTCTCTGGCGTAGGCGTGACATTCGGCTATCAACCAAGGGACGTGTGTACTGTTCAGCAGTTCGCTCTGTCCTTCTCTATGGCTCTCAAACATGGCCAATACAAGTTGAAGACATGAAAAGGTTGACTTTTTTTGACCACAGATGTTTACGATCTCTTTCTCGAGTTAGGTGGCATAATAAGGTAAGTAATGTTGACATTAGGCGTAGAGTGTTGGGCAAAGAGGGAAAATCAATTGACGAGGCTATAAAGTTACATAGATTGAGATGGCTAGGTTACGTGCTGCGCATGCCTAACCATCGCCTCCCCCGACGGGCATTACTAGCTTGATATAGGTGCAGGTTGAAAAACAGTAAGTGGTGGCCAAACAAAAACATGGCATCAATCAATCCATGAAATCCTTGGCAGTTAAACTGAGTCACGTAGGGAGATGCAGACTTCCGGGTTGGGGCCCTCGGGACTCTAAGAATCAATGGCTGGAGACAATAGGTGACATGGCTGAAAATCGTTGTCAATGGCTTACGCAGATGTATTCAGTCTCTGTAATCTTTCATATTCCTTTCTACCATTACTCATTCTGTTTCACTCTTATACTTGTCAAAACTCTATTGATTCTCTTCACTCATCTTCTTGTCTACCTTTGTGTGCTTTTTGGGACGTGACAACTCGAACTGCTGCACTTCGGTTCCAAGTTCTATGTTGAATCCAGACAGACAGACCAAGAAGGTTAGTGCAACTTCCTCAATAGTCGGAGTTGCTGACAAACTCGACTACTTTATCACAAAATCTTAAACTAAGCTGTAATGAAAACCAGTTGAAGAACAGCATTTAAGACAACTGAAAAGCAATATGATTAGTCTTATGTTTTAGCTAAATATGTCTAATAGACTCTAGCAGTTATCAGTACTTTTTCTGATGTCATTCACCGATTTCAACTGATTAGCGACTCCTCCTCAGGTGGTAGGGATCAGGATACAGATAAAAGTGACTAATGAACAGTTGGTGAATATTAATGAAGTAATAGTAAGGAAAATAAAGGGTAATTTAGCAGAATATAACAATTCCACATACTATGTTATAAGTTTGAACTGTACTCAAAGGGTTAATGATATAACTTAGATGACCAAATCTATTGATGACTAGAATTTGGCCGACCATATGGCATATGCTCTATTCTGAAGTGGTGTCACCTTGATGCGGTGGGCATTAGGGCATTTTAATATATATAGGCCAAAATATACCAGCATGGTTTCATGAAAATTCCATAAAAGATGTTTATTTTAATTTAAATTGTAGCTTGATTCTACACAGTATTTTCGTACAAGTATGGAATTTTCAGCATGTGATATCGGTAGCCCAAAATTTAGCAGGCCGACCATTGATATCAGGTGTGCGGCGGCCGGGGATCGAACCCCGGACCATGTGCATGGTCGGTGAGCCTTCTAACCGCTGTGCCACCGACTCACATACTGCCTCCTTTAATCCATTACATTGCGCAGATGTCATCAGTATCAAGCAACATTTTCTGATAAAAGTGAAGCGAACGTAATGCAGTCCAAGAATGTACTGCTACAGATAATATATACGCCAGAAAAAAAATTTATTGATAAATCCATTTAAACAGCATACCAAAAATGTAACTTATCACCACACCATCATAGCAACAGATTAGGAGGTTACAACTAGAGGGGATATGCAATAAACACACTCCTAGAATTCGAACAAATAATCCATAACACTTAAAAATTAAGCATTCGAACTAGTGAATTACGGCTTCCTAATCCCGATAGGTAAACACGCAAGTGATTCCACATAATAATAAACTCAGTAAAATTTTACAGAAACACAAATTGTTAATCCGAATACGATTTACAAATATCTTTGAGCTTCTGTAACATTTCAGGGTGTATCTGGTCGACAGAGCAAACAAACATTTAATATTTAATTCAGTCTAGATTTCCCATCGATTGATTGGACCGAAGTGCTCGGTCTCAGGTTGACATGTCGGCTGCTTGTGAAGATGCTCCGACGATGTCTGGTTACGTAACTTGAAGCCAATTGGTAGATGGTGACTGGCTAGCAGTGGAGTCCAAGATGAGCATTTCATCCTATTTGGGCCTGCATTCCAACCTAGGCTCAAACCCAGTGCCCATAATTTCAAATGCTAAAGCGTTATCCAATGAAGAGTCTCGAATAGGACGAAACGCGCATCTTGAATTCCACTGCTAGTTATCACCATCCACCAATAAACATTTAACATAGTTTAGATACTAAATAAAGGAAGGAGTGAGAAAAGTACTCTGTTGCACAGATGTATATTTTATTTTACAATAGATAGCTGTATGTATGTTTGTATTAAACTTAAAAGTTTTTATATTTATATGTACTTAAAATAAAAGCAAAGTAGATTGAAATACAGTATTATTATTATTATATTGTGTTAACAAGCAAACTTCAGTTGAATAATAAAGCATATATTAATACAACACTAATATATAATACAACAACTTGTTGAATTGTGATGCTATCGAAGAATTTTGCAGATCATCGCCTACATGAAATGGAGGGAATGTGACGGATACATTTATTTATATTGATCTTCACATTTTGAAGTTGTCAATTCATTATACGTTGTACAAATGCTATATATAACACCCAGGGAAAACAAGAGCAAAAGAAGAAAATGTTTAGAATAATGCTGGTGATAGAGTTTGTTTATGAAGATATCGTCTCAAAAGAAATATCCTTATTTCAATTGAACTAATACTATATAATATTTTAAATTAAATGAAATTACTCAGCGCCTAAGGGGCTTGTAATTGGTAGGGTTATACTTTATAAATCTATCAAAGTTTGTTAGAGACGATGACATACATTTATTTTAGGACAATATGTATACGTTAACTCTCATTTACAAGTCACAGATAACTTCTGAATTGGGCTATACGGCTATTAAGTTTTAAACCAGGATGAACTATTGTCAGAAATCAGGTAACTGGTACAGATTTCTCATGTTTTATGCTATAAGCCATATTTACGGTGTTAAGACTAAAGATACTACGCGGCTGCCCAGGTCGGAGGAGATCCAGTGTCACTGAGACACGTGTCCCAATGACTGAAAGCAAGGGACCTACACTAATACGCCACACTTTAACAGTTATTGAACTATCGATAATATCAAACCCTTGAAATTAATATGCACAGTGAGGTTCCAATCTGTGATACACAGACGGTAATTACTGCATTCGCAGTCAACGATTCATAGTCTTCCAGATAAAGGGATTATTACATTCATCAGAATTTGTCAATTATCTATGAACTCAATTGTAAAACGAAAATCGAATTTATAATTTGCATATAAGCCAACAGTTTGTCATCCACACAGTTCGAAGAATGAAATTTCACCCAAGTTTCTTTTAGTAACTAAATTATTCAGATCAATCACAGTATGCGATTTCCTTGATCCCATAAATAGTAACCAAGAAAGCATGTATAAATGCACAAAGCTAGAACTATATACTACTGGCTCATTGAGATAAGAGGTTTACTACTACTCATATCACTACGAATTCCAAAGGAAACTGTGGTGAAATCTCATCTTGAAGAGTTAAATTTGTGAAATACTTTGAAAATTCCGAATATAACTCCATTATGGATATTACTGTATAAGTGTGTGATTTATCAAAATAAAATCTTATCCATAATGGAGTTATACTCTACCACAGTGCCCAAGTTTTATACTGATATTAATAATTCCGAATACGACTTGTGGTATCACCAGTTCGCCCAAATAACTAGTCGGAAATCGGGTAGTTTGTACTGGATTCGGCTTTCTGAGCTCAGTCAAACCGGATAACACCGCTGATCAGCTCGACGCCAAATTGAGCGAAACGACCGTTTGGTGTTTAGATATCGATATGGTTGGTTAGCAAGCACTACTGGTCGACAGGAATGGTAAACAACTACTCATTTTAGTCAATGAGTGGTATATAGTTTCATGCAGACTCACGAAAAATAAGACAGAAAAATAACTGTTTATTGCATCGAAACACTTGTATCCTTTAAGTTATGACGTAATGTGTGAAAACCAATACAAGACATCAAAAGTTTTCACAATCCACTCCTTAACTTAAAGAAAGATATAATCTTTCTTAACCAGTCTTCTCGGGTGATTGAAACTTTTTAAGATTTATATCCAATCAATTTATCACAACTGTCAATGCTACTGGTGTTAAACAGCAACAGTACAGTAGATGTGCAAGTAAGGGGATGGAGCACGACAACTTACAATAAGGCAAGAAAGAATAGATGAAATTTGAATGTCAAGTAGTTATTACATAGCAGAATATAAAATATCTCAGATAAAACACAAAATAATTGAGCGAAGAATATCCATTTCGATAAATTCCTTTTCCAGCTCTACAATTATATATATTCAAGTGTTAGTTTGTAGGGATTTAATTGGTTACACGATTTCATCATGAGCTGACATTGGTTATTGAACCATTGGAAAACCAGCTGGGAGTACTGGACAGCTGTTTCATCCTCCTTCTTTGGGACTCTTCGACAGTATGCGCCCACCGTAGGGCTCGAACCCAGGACCTTCTGGTTACAAGGCCAGAGAGCTAGTAGACTATTAAGCCACTGGGACCCAATCCAATGGCCCATGAATTCTAACTTCTACCAATTCACGACATAGCGTGACCACTAGCCAATGTCTTCGGTGAGTATTTGTTCTCACACCCGACCTGCTGCACTCTACTGGACAAATACTCGCCGAAGACATTGGCTAGGGGTCGCGCTATGTTGTGAATTGGCAGAAGCTAGAATTCATGGGCCATTGGATCGGGTCCCAGTGGCCTAATGGTATACGAGCTCGCCTTATAACCAGAAGGTCCTGGGTTCAAACCCTGGTGGTGGGAGCGTACTGCTGAAGAGTGCCAAACTAGGGCGAAACAGATGCCCAGTACTCCCAGGTTTTCCAATGGTTGTTTAACCAATGTCACCTCATGATGAAATCCTGTAACCAATTATATATGTTTATATACATAGAATATTCTAGAATAGTAGTCGACAACAATATTGTTATTGACTACTATTCTAGAATATTCTGTGTATATAAACATATATATAATTGTAGAGCCGGGAGAGGAAATAATCAAAAAAGATATTTTTCGCTCATTTATTTTGTGTTTTATAGATTTCTGAATGAATATTTTCGCTATATCTCAGATAAGTTTAGTTTGGTAGACTGATACAACAATGTAATACTGTGATAACTAAAATTGAGACGAAAGCCCAAGCTATCAGAGTATTTGGATCAGCTAGAAAAAGACTGCCAACCTTGTAACCCACTAAGTCAAAATACAGTCGCTGACCATATTATATTTAACACAGATTGAAAACATAAACCAAGTGTACAGCAGGAGCGTTTTTTATAAACAGTCTGTGTACTGGACTATGAGCCATACACTTATTGTGTGAGGGCTGGAGGTAGGTGGAGCGCGACTCAAACGTGGTACCCAGGAGTGTACACACAAATATACATACAATGACTCACCTTGATATGGTACAAGACCTTGACTGTTTTCCAAGCCAGCTAATAAAATATCTACTTCATCATCACGAAGTTTTTCACCAAGAGCTGTGAGCAAATGTCTAAGTTCAGCTGCACTAATAAATCCATTATCTTCTTTATCAAAGACACGAAATGACTCAATAAACGCTTCTTGATCAACTTCCACCTGTTCTTTTAATAGGCCATGATAAATAGGGACGAAGGATTCAAAACTGATACGTTCATCTACAAAAAACGATAAAGGGTAAATGAGGCAGCAGATTGCATGATGGCAACGTTATCTATGCGAAAATATCTGATTGATGGGAAAAAAAGTATAAATTAAATCTAAGAATGCAAATGGTTTTTTGTAAGATGTTACATCCTAACATGCATCTGATTGTCAGAAATGAAATTGAGAAAGTAGAAACAAGTAGATACTAATCACACCACACAAAAAGACATCAAGATAATTCCCGTGATAATTTCGATGCTATTACATGAAACAAGGGTTTCAACACAAGACTAATACTTTCGTATTAAGATCAGAGCCCAACATACTCTCAGAAATGAAGTTTATTTATTATTTAATCTCATTATGTATCTAATCAATAAGTAGCTGCGACTTACCATGAAAATTACCTTTATAAGTTCATTCCCAACACACTCTTGGTTAGGGTAGGATAAAAGTGAATGCCAGAGGAATCCAATAAAGCTAAGCCAGTCATAGATCAACTTTTGACAAAACATCTGACTAACATTAAGATTCTTGCCAACTGGTAATTCATTGTGGAAATTCTATAACGTGAAGTCATCCGTTTTGTGATTACTTGTATATTCCTAAGACCAACAAATCACACTATGGTCGCTAGCCACCAGAAAATATGGCGAAATCGTGTCATTTATTAAAACACACTTTAGTAAGCCAGTAAGAGTTTTTTCCTATACCAACGAACTTTTGAATGGTTCGGAGAGCTACTAAGTCTACTAACTGTTTCAAGGAGATTGAAATAATTCTCCTAGATACTTGGCTAAGAACACACTACTCAGGAAAGACATCTCTTTTCGTTACTGTACAGTTATTTAGGAGGCTCATATATATAATCTCAACTGACAATATACGTCAGAGGTTTTTGTCAGTTGGTGACATAATAAATCCGTGTATGAAAAATAACAAGGGGTCTAGATGTGCCCGTGAACATTTGTCAGAACGGCTGTCGAAACGGAGACGCAGAACAGTCAACAGTTCAATTCTGAAGCACATTATAACTTCTAGTCACAGCATCAGTAAACTTCTGTTAGGAAGAGGCAAAACATGCAATTATCAGGTCATCAGTCAAGTTATTATCGCGTTATTAACAAGTCGTTGACATGCAATTGTTCCTGCTTCTGATTGAACGCTTGCACAATTCAAACTCTCAACCGGAATGGTTGATTTCCAGTCTACCTTATTTTCTGTATAAATACAGTCAATTTTGTCATAATAAATGAACCTGGGTTTACCGTTGATTCTCTTCGTGTTCTGCTTTACCAGTTAAGTGGGCACTGGCCAGTAGTTAAGCAGTGACCGCGTGACAAAGGATCTAGCATCATAACAACTTCATTCAAAGTCATATATAAAGTACGACCAAGCATTTCAAAAGAATTTCGTCTACATCATCTTCACGTGAATGAAACTTCAGCAACCCATAAAAAACCCTGAATTTATCCAGCTTCTTTTACTACCCTGGCTCTAGTGTCAATGTCGCTCTCCTGGGTTGTTGTATGGTTAACACTGTGTAGTCCTTCTTATTTTTATTAATTTTTTGTAACTCATTTGTAATCCTTTGTTCTCCGACGTCCTATCAATTATTTCCAGGTGACTATTTATCACTGAACTAATTAGTTATGAACCCTGTCGATTACGTAAGATTATCCATTATCTTTGGCACAGTGTTATTTCTCAAACACTGATTTCTTTTGTTATTAGCTTACAATAACCTATGACCTCTGTCGCCAATTAACACTGTACGTAAGCAGACCCTCTAAGTAACTGTACAGTTTTGAAGTGAAGTGGTTAAACGACTTAAATTACATGGATTCTAATATCAACTACTGAAATTAGATAGCCATTAAAAACACAGGTGCGATAGAATTTTGGTTGTTAATGACCATATATGGAATAACGGAAGAGGTGAAGAGCCATACTAAAACCATTAGTGTAACGATATTACTCAGTCATTTGAATAATGGTGGGTGAAAGGGGATAAATGTGTTTGATCTTTATTTAACATTGGTAGCATAAAGTTTCCCTTAGAGATTTACTCAACAGAAAATACACAATACAAAGCATTTTTGCATCAAGAGATAAACATACTTGGATTACTTTGATGACCGTACTTTCCAATGTCTGATTCGGTTGGATTTAACCCCAATGCACGTACAACCTCACCGACATCTTTAGCATCAATTTTTTCATCACCTTTACTATCAAAAAGCAGGAATGTTTCATGGACATCTACTCACAAGTTTTAAATTATTTTTTTTAAACAAAAACTTACCGTTAAGATCTTTATCACTTAAATCGACCTAAAGCTAATAAAAGCGAAAGAAAGGTATTAACATACCATTTTGAATGTAGTACGTTTATTTATGTGCTAATATACGTCAATATCCGCAAAAAGACTGCACACAGAAATTTGCCAAACAAAATGCGAAATCTGCAAGATAAAAATATGAGAAAAAATTATCAGTAACGAAGGTTAGTAGGGAACGCAAATATGAATCCAAGGTAATGGTTAATCAGGAGAAAATCTAGAAAGCCTGTGAAATACACCTGAGAAAGGTCAACAGAAAGGACGACACTTTTAAAATCTGTGAAAGTAGAAGCTACTTACGAAAATTCTAGATAAAAGCATAAAATGAATTAATTTAAAAGAACAAATCAAGAGAATGCTAGGTGGATACATTCGGGTGACAATGGCGATCTATTCAACAGGGTATGTTACTTCCTTAAATTCACGAAGCTTAGATTCTTTACGTTAATACGACCCCACTTCATGTCCTTAGTCAATTATTTACCAATTCCATTGCGCTTGTGGAGCGAGTTATATTGGCTGTTGCTCTGGGAACTTGATTTTTCGTGCTCGAGAACATCTCCCACTATGGCTAAGTAAAGTTCGATATTGGACCATCTGATGCAAACCGGCCACAAAGCCAGCCAGTATTGAAGAATCCTTCTCTATAATCTACCGGGTGCCTAATAAATAGCCAAAATCATCGAAGCACCGCATGCTCTAAACAGCAGAGGCTATTGAAATTCACCTCAAACAACTGGTGCTATGTGTTCAAAAGAAGCTAGTCCAGTCACTACTACTGCCCTGGTCGGCCTTCAGTAGAGACTATAAATTCATGAATTTGTAATATTATCTTTCCTAATTTTTCTGACATTCAGCTTATTTTATGTTGATGCTATTGAGCTGTAATCTATCAATATTATTGATTCCATGTTATTTAAACAACATTAACATTGTTGATAACACTACTTCACTCATTCACTATAAGGTACATATATAACCGACCGAAAGCTGCTACCTTGACGTGGTGGTCGGGCTTGAACACCGCAATGACCCAACAAGCTATACTGGCTGGAACTCATGTTCCTGTAGGTCCTACCATGCCAGAAAGGTTGTTTGGATAGCGGTTAGACAAAAAGCAGTTACCCAACCTAATCCTATGACTCAAAATAAATCACAAAATATCATGCCGGATCGGTTTGGGCCCGGATTAACAACGACCGCGCTTCTTGCTGCCGTGTCACAGGGCAGAAGTGATAAATACACTACTGAGACACACCAAATGAAAAACAACAAACAAAAACAGGCCGTGTGTGACCGGCCTCAAGCAGTTGTCCCCTGGGCTCTGCGGTCACACAACCAACTTCCACGGTGTGGGCAGCCGGGAAGTAACAATCGCCCTCACAATCCGAAGTGCACGCGAAACTGTAGAGCCTGATGGTGAAGTTATCGAAAACAGTATTCTTTGTTCAGTATCCATTCCTTTGAAAATTATTTTTAGCTTTGAATACGTAAACCATTTCAATCACAACAGTTCTTAATTGCACATAGTAATGAAGTAAACAAATAATTGAAAGGAAGATACTAATATTGAATAAGAGAGTATGTTAACAAGGGAGGTTTGAGCATACTACCGTTTCTATGCACGAAGATCAGTTTCGGTTATACAGTCCTTTAAGGAGGTTTATTTCAGGCTTTCTAAAAACTGTACCTCCTGTGCTATGAATCCGCTTCATTTATTTTATGTGCGCAATTTAATTGTCCATTTCCAGTTGGGTTTGTGCTTAAGCAGAATAACATGTAAAAAAGCACGTAAGACCTACTGGGAAGCTGAATGTTAACCAACAGGCATAGCACCTTAAGATGAGTTTGCATGAAAAACAAGGCTTATGAGCCAAAGAAATTAGTTACACTCTGACCAGCCTTCATCTTTTTGATCACCTTAATATGGAGGCCATAAATTTAGAATTGGGTGATAAATGCTGTAGGGGTGGGAATAGGATGCTTAGAAAAACTTTCGCAGTTCGTATAAAAGTATTAAGTTCATGTCTTAAAATTTAGCGCTTCTCTAGGAGCGTTGTTCACATTTACGATTAGGGACCGTTACCAACGGAACATTTTGACATATTTCGGGAGCACCTTAGTACAAAACTTGGGGAAAAGTAACAGAATACCAGAATTTTCTCTAAAGCGCCGAGCTGGACTCAAAATTACTCACTAACTTATGACCTCTAGCCAGCATAAACTTTGGTAATCCTAAGCATGTCCTGAGGCAAACATCAGCATCGCTACTTATTAACCGTAATCACCATATTGTCATATGTATAAAATGTCCCAAGCTTACAACAATTCTAAACTTATTCTAACCTATGCGTCGATAATTCCTTTTTTATGGTAAATGGACATTTCACCTACCCAATATGTACTGAAATAACGTAGGTTTTGCTTAAAAAAGTGCTGAATGCTTAATTAATCCGAAAAAACTTAAAAATAAGATTGGCATATGAAATAATGCTGAATATGGGCTGAGAGAGCCAGAACGACAGTAGGTTCTGATCTACTACTGGAAATGGTTAGAAAATGAACAGGGTGCTGAATTAGTGCGACATGCTGAGAACCAGCACTGAGTTTTAGTCTGTTTGCTTTAAAAAACCATTTCAGAACAGATTCGGAATTTACTCACAATAGAATGTTAGAGTAACTACAGAATTAGGGAGACTTAATTCAGCATTATTGTAAGCTTAAAATCTTCACACTGTCATTTCCAAAATAGCTCTCTTTTCCCCACTTTCGAAATATGAACTGTCTACTTTTCATCGACGGAAATATTCGTCTGCAGTCATATGGCTCCAGACGAATGTGGTATATACAACACCATTAACTGAGTGTCGTCATCTGGAAACACCGGCTCCGGTGGCTTGGACATGTGCTGCGAATGTCATCCCAGAGGCTTCCGTACAGGTCTCTGTTCACTAGCCCTGGGACGGGATGGAAAAGGCGGACGGGTGGTCAGTCCATGACGTGGGATGAAGGATATTTGTGCTAGATTAGCATCGGTTGGTGCGTCACGACTCCCTGGTTGGGGTCCGCGAGATAGCTCGAAACGTTATCGGATATGGCCAAGAATCGTAATCAATGGCGAACGTGTTGCAATTTCCTTCTTTCTTCCCTTCCTGATGATAGTTAACGAATACTGTTTGAACTTGTTAAACATGACGGTTTTCCTTCCAGATGAAGTTCTTTATCCGTTTTCTACTTATATTTTTACTTTTAATCTATGTTGTTTTATTATTATTGTGTGGCGCATCTTTCTTGGTGCCATACTGTACCAAGTTTTTCTGCGTTTAAATAAATAATAAATAAATACAACAATCTAGAAGACTCGTCAATTAGTCAAACCAATTATAACAACGGGACAAAGAATCACTGATCCTTCGATTCTGTGCTCAATTTTATCACCATTACATGTATCATAAAACCGTACTAAGCTTGGAAATAAATCACTGCTGGACTCACATCTCCAAACGAATTCTAAAGCAAAAATTGAATGTCGATATTGGCCTTGAAGTATCCAATAAAACGCCAATACATTTGTAGTGAACTTCAATATCCAGTGTCCAAAGTTTTAAAAGGAACCGATTCAGAGTAATTGTTTACTGGTTTACTGGTGCTTACTTACTGGTGTTAACAAACGATCCCACTGTTTCTCTTATTCGAGCAATGTTTATTCAGCCACCGAAGTCAGTTAAGCCATGTAGATTATCCAGTCCATCCAATATCCTTCACACGACCTAGTGTAACACGTTGGTTTCTTTGTGCTCACTCCTTGGTTGCAAAGTAAAGGTTTATGATTCACCGTAAACTTCTGAGTAGTGGATCCCGTCGCCTGACTGCCGTAGCTTCGGTTGACTTCAAGAATGATGGCAGTTCCAATATCCAATATCGTTTTTACGAGCTAGTATAAACCAATTTGATTTCTTTGTGCTCGCCTCTTGGCTGTGAGGTAGAGTTTCCTGATCTTCGGTAAACTTCTGCGTAGCTCGTCCCGCCACTCGACTGTAGTAGCTTTGGTTGACTCCAAAAGGAGTAGTGCAGGGATTAATTATATGTGGTTTGTGGTATGAGGTGTGTTAAGACTGTTACTACTGTGAATGGAGTTGATCCTTTCACTAGTCGGTCCTTCGGTATCGTCGTCAATAGAAAAGAGATAATAATAATTAGTGAAGGTATTCAGACTAACAGACAGAAAAAGAATAAGAAAACGTAACAACAGTCAGCTGATTAAATTTGAAGAATAATATGAATAATATATATATATCCGGTAATACTGATAATAATAATAGGTGTAGTTAAAGTTGTCAGGAGAGTAAGATGGGAGAGAATGTAAAGAAGTAAAACGACAAGTTTAATTGTCTACCCTTGAATGGTGTATTCGATTTTAAGGGGATAGGCCATTTGGATGCAGTCCTTGTGTCACTGCATGGTTGTCCAGCCTTCGCTTAAAGGCGTCCACAGACGGTGCCATAGCTACATCTGCATGTAAGGAATTCCAGGGACGGCAAACCCGCAGGGAAAAGAAGTGGGAGCGCACTCGGGTCCTTGCCCTCTGATGAGCTATCCTTCTAGGATTTCCACGAGGGAGCCTAAAACTACTCAATGACAGAACACCTTTGTTTGGGTGATTCTGATCATTTGTTATTTTGTAGGCAGTAATTAAATCCCCCCTAAGACGACGGTAGCTAAGTGTGAATAGGCCTAATTTATTCAGCCTTTCATCATATGGTTTATTTCGGAGACCAACCACTCCTTTTGTTGCCCGTCGTTGGACTCTTTCCAAGAGGTTGGCGTCTCTTCTAAGCAATAGGGGTGCAATAATATTATGCAGTTGGAGGGATTTGTCATATGTAGTTTGAAGTAGACATTGTGTTAGGACCGTACCCCTGCTGTGAATGGGGTGGATCCTTTCAGAGTGGCTTAAGTACCTATCCCCGCTAATTTTGACATCATGGCCCGTTGCTGTGGTGTTTTGATCACAAGTTGTACATTTGTATGCTTTTTAAATAAGATTGTTGCTTCACACTGATATCTGCGCAATGTAATGGATTAAAGGCGGCAGTAAGCTCAAAGGTGAGACGTACATTATTGAATTTTCATGAAATCGTGCTGGTATATTTTGGCCTACTTATTGAAATGCCCTAACGCTCACCGAATCAAGTTGTCATCACTTCAAAAAAGGGATATTCCGTATGACCACCCATCATTTCACCCTGCAGTTATCCGGTGAGCTCGGAAACAGAGACAGAAAAAGATACAACCAGTTTAGATTATGTAGACTTAAACGTGAAAGCTTTCCAAAAGGTAGATAATGACAAATGGGTGTTTAAGTAGAGTAGTCAGAAGAAAGAGTCGAAGGATAATAGACAATGATTAAGAACGAGTTAAGCGGACTCGAAGCGAAAGGAAAAAAGGCGCACCCGAGTGTTTGCTGTCTGATGCATCATTCTTCATGGGTTACTACGAGGAAGACCATAGTATCTTGATAACAGAACACCTTTGTTTGTGTGATAATGACATTTTTAATCCTATGGGCTGAAGTTAGGCTGCCCATAGGCAGAAAGCTGCTGAGTGTAAAAAGACGTAGTTTCCTCAGATTTCTTTCATATAGTTTGTTCCAGAAACCCTTTCCGAAATGCCGGCGTTCTTTTTAGTTCACAGAGCAGCAGTCATAGTGTGTATTTCAAATTGTGGTAGTACGTAAGTTCTATACGTTCCTAGAGGAGGCTCAATTTTTCTTCACATAGAGCGTAACTTGCTGTCTGTGATGTTTCAGTTTGCACTTTATAGATTTGAGAACAAGCCACTGCCTAGTGCCCGATTCCCAGAGTTTTCAGCTCCTTCTGTAAACTATCTCAGCCTTCCGGACATCCTGTTGCTATTCAAATGTTAACGTCATCAACGTAAGGGACAGTCAGGCAGTTGGGACAACGTGGTAGATCAGTGGTAAAACTCAAAAACACTGAGGGTCTCAGGACAGAATCCTGTGAAATTATCAACACTGAGCTGTGTGTTGGATGGCAAGACATGATCGATTCGAATGCAGATATATCTGTCGCCTAGGTAGTCATTCAACATGAGAAGCACGGACTACTAAGGGGGCGGTCATACGGAATATCCATTTTTTTGAAGTGATGACAACTATATGCGGTGGGTGTTGGGGCATCCAAAAATACAATTAGCGAGGATATGCAATAAAGCCATACCCACCAATGCCTACTCTCCTTTTTATGGAGGAGAAGGTCATGTCGAACTGTTAGATGGCTGCGTGAAGTCTAGGATTACCACTTGGACTGGAACACTTATCCAATATGACGTCCAGTCATTTAAAGCCGATAAAAGATTTTCTGCACTACCTCTGCCGAAACCATAGTGTGCTTCATGGAGTGAGTTATTCCAGCCGAGGTGTTCTGTGATATGGTCACCTATGAGTAGATCAAAGAAATTAGTTACGTTATTTGAACCTCAGTGGTCAATCCGTTTATCTGTGCAGATTGGAATACACTGCGGATAACTGAGTTTTTAGAGAGTAAGAACGCAGCTGCTGAGTTAAGGTGTGATTGAATATCTGTGTACGCTATTCATACCACCAATTATAAGTACATCCTTCAGCAGCCATATGCTTTATATTCTACCTTCACTATCTGATGTGGTGTGAAGTCTGGCCACAATTTTTGGTAGGCTAGGCAAATAGTCAGCAGATACTGTGGACAAGGCTGAAAACGAGCAGGAGAAAGAGCCACACAGCAATCATGGACGTCATTTCTAGTTGAAGCCAACCAGAAACGAACTCGAAGTCAATCAGGCAGCTCAACTGACAGGTCTTCTAGAATGTTGCTGGGAGTAGTAGTATTTGTCTACAAATCTCAGCGTCTTACCAACCCCCACTCTTGCAGACAGGAGATAGTGTGGCCGTCTACCAATCCTTTGGCAGTTTGTCCAAAACAATGGGGCCCTGGAACTGGGAACCTGAAGGCTTTCAGAGAGCTTTTTTCTCAGAACAGATTGTGGAACAATGCCTTAACCCTGGGACTTTCATACGGTGAGGTTTTTCGGATACTCTAGAACCACTGTGGTGGTAATATGAAATGCATCCGTTGGATTTCCCCTCGGTAATTTATTAGTTTGACCCTTGTGGCTTATAGCAGTAATGCTCACAGTAATATTTGGTTGTTTGTTAGAGACCGATGTGAATGCTCCAGCCATTTCTAGACTGGTGAGAAATTGACCGCTTGAACCTCCTAAAGCGCATGCCCCTGGCTTGTAGGTTTTCTTTCTGATATGACTCGTTATAGGCTTCTGGATTTTGTCAGTCTTCTGGCAGCATATTCGGGAAATGGCTTCTGTACCCTTGCGTTGTATCGGTTACTAAGCTGTAGGTATGCATCATGGTCAGTCTGACTCTTGGAGAGTCACCATGTAAGCCAGGCTTTTTGACTGCCTTGCATTCTCCTCTGCATATTTCTCTTCAAATTTGATGTTGGTAGTGTTACTAGGGGTAAGGGGCATAACGCAGTTGGTTAAGGAATTTGTTGAAACAGCACTATTCCACTAAGGGTATATCACTACTGCACTCAATTCACGAGTCGCTTGAATCAGTCAGACGCCTATGCTCTCAAAATGACCTCGAAAAAAGTTAAGTGCACTTAAAAGTACTTCCAAAGCTTACAACCTCACGGCACTTCTTAAAAAACTAATGAGGTAAACGAGGGACATCTTCTATTTACTTCACACTACAGATCTGGTGATGCGGCAAACGTGGGCAATTACAGACCTATAAATATGACCCTAGTTCTCTCGCGAATCTTGCAGAAAGTTGTTAAGGATCAGTTGTCAGGTTAATCTAATCTTTTAAGCCAGTTCTCTCTGATGTGTCACTTACATACTTCACGATAATCCTTTTATCTAATTACCATTACACTCTATTTTATCTTAACTACCTAGGCCTTTAATAAAGCTAAAACTGACTCTTTTCACTTACATTCTTCTCTCGCTTAAAATCTGGTTGCTCTGTTGAAATAAAACACAACAGCAACACCTATGTTTATGAATAACTGTATTTTCATCGAAAATGTCATAGTTTTCCATGGTAAGACCAATATAGTCAGCATTAAACTTTACAAATGTATACTATCATTCCAAGAACTCTATAGCTAGTTCTCGGATTTATCGTGTAAATGTACTTTCAATGATGTATTATCCATAATTGTATTTTGCAGTTTCCCAGGACATTTTTCTCTTCCTGAAATAGCTTCTAATCACTTGGCGGCATAGCACTTACCTGAACGCCTACTGATTAGCCCTAGGGTTTCTGGAACGTTCTATGTAGTGTAGAGATGTTACAGGTTCATTAATTTCTTCAGGCTGCACAAGCTGATGGATGTTGTGTGCTAAAAAGCACCGAATGTTCTGGATGATGCGGATGTGCAGCCGATGGGTAAAGATAAAAAGCTGTGTTATGTTTGGTACGAGAAAACTTACACTACCAAGGGTTTCAAAAGCACCCTTCTATTGTCCACGTACTCTTTGATCAATCAGTTTGGGAGAATTCTAATTTCCCACAGTATTTCTCTTTGTCCGTTTCCCATTCATTTTTGAGCTGTACATAATCTGTATTTCCGGCAGCTTTTGAGTAAGTTTGATTTCACTAAGTTTCCAGTGCCACGTTATCGTCTTATACGAAATTTGGTGATACTGCTCAAGGTCGACACCTTGCTCATCGCGCCTTTTTGAAGGTACGTGGAACGGTTAGAAATACCTAGACGCAATGGGCAATTCTGATGTGGATATCGCAAATGTTGAGCTGTACAGTTCGCGTCCTTTACTTTTTCACGGGTACATACTACCGTTTGTACTTCTGTATGCCATTTGGGTTGGATACTGGACAAGTGTGCTAGGATTTTATGAGTATATGGAATTGGGCTTTATTGTTGTCGCCGCTATCGGATTCGTGCAAATAATTGTTTGCCTTTGCTGTCACTGGTTTGTTGGATTTGAGTGCTTGATGACATGTCGGAAGGTAAGCACACTTATGGTAAAATATTCCACCCAAGCAAACAAGTGTTGCAGCATCTGAGTATGTGAAAGTCGTGCCCACTCCCAATACGGGCTATCCAATGTTGGTGAAAATCGAAAAACAAAAGGTTAGAAGTCTTCAGTGTGGGTTTTTATCTTGAATACAGGGTAAACTTGCAGGAGAAACTATATATTCATTCCATTTTCAACGGCTAAAATATACATTCAAAACTGATGAGAAAAGTAGTTTTCACCCTGTTGAATTTCCGGTTGATTGGGACATGCGAAGTTATCTTAATTGGAGAGGTTATGAAACGGCGGAACAACAGCTGAGCGCCCAACAGAAATATGGGATAAATGAGTAGCTCAAAATAATCATACTTAACTGTTAGATTGCATTTAGATGTACCGTCCTTCGCGGAGTTATTCAAGGAGCGTGCAACTGCTCCATTTTTTGTTTTTCAAGTGTTCTCTGTTGGTCTGTGGTGCCTCGACAATTACTGGATTTATCCGGTACTGGTTTTGGGTTTGCTGTGTCTTTTCGAAGCTAGTTTAGTGCAACAGCAGCTGAAAAACATGTCGGAGATACGCTCAATGTCTGAAAAACCATACAACATCCATGTAAGCTTTTGCAATCCCGAATTAAGTTCTTTCATTTTTCTATTGATAAGCTTGCCATCCGACAATGCGTCATTATTAGCTATTGAATTATATAGTTATATTTTAAGTCAATGTGTTTACTGCTTTTGGCGAAAATTCATCATTGGATACAACAAGTAAATAAACTTGTCAAGTGTCTATTTCCTCCTTTTCGATAAGTTGTAGGACACTTGATTATCATTCACTGACGTACTTTTCCTATCACTAAGTGCATTGTTTACTCACTGATTTCTGAAGTTTACCTTGGACTTTTAGCTACTCGTGAGGCTGAGGCCTGGTAATTGCGGCTTAATTAGTAGCTTTGCCCACATTACATTTCACATTTCTTCTTTTGGGACTGCGTGTACTTACTCATGTCGTTTGTGAGGACAGTTAGTGCCCTGTTTTCTAACAGCTCCTGTAGGTGTGTTGTGCAACTTCGTGGTGCGAGCAAGGCAGCCAATTAACCAATTCTGTTCATACTCTCTGCTCGTCTTTTTACGAATCGGAACAAGCAGTCGGCTTCCCTCGTTAATCACAAACAGGAGCATCAGCATGGGACACATGCGCAACCGTGGTATCCTAATATGTCTTTGGAAACAAGATCCCATCTCCAATCCGCTGTACGTCCAACCTAGCTTCGCCTCAAAGGTCATCGGAGGACAGTTTGTGTGCCGTTGCTGCTACTCTGTTAGGGTTACTGAAACCAACTGCGACCACACATTGACCGCCAGATACGCAGCATTCATACTATGGCCGCCGGAATTCTAGCCTCATTTACTATTCAGGCCAAGTGGGTGTCCTATTCCACATAAAGCTAGAGAGCTGTTCAGCATGAAGGCTAGGACTTGAATTCCATGAGGCGGCTCCGCAGCTAGAAAGCATAACACACACAACGCACTGCGCTGACACAACTTTGTTTAACGCTTGTATTACACTACCCTAAAGACGCTGAGCCTTTACAAACTGAACCAGATATATTGTCTGGGCCGAAGTTTTGCATATACATCAAAATTTTCAGTCATACCGCACACATGTAGGACAGCATAATGTCACATTCACTTCACCCATTTCTATGTACTGATATTTACTCCCCTTGGTGTTTTGTGGTTTCCTCAGCTTTCGTTTATATGTATACCCAACCATTTAGAAGAGGGATTTCAGAAAGCCTGTTTATTATCCACTCAGTCTTGTCATACACTATACCTCTCATGCCTATGGTAATCGGTACATGCGTTGTGCTGTCAGTGTAGTGGCCCTTATCATTCATCTGTTTCATATGGTCTATTAAAGTCGGAGTTGTCGCATTTCCTAATCTTACCATTCCATGATAAATCCATTATGTGGTCAGTACACATTTTAACATCCAGAATAGGTTTCCCCCTGCTAATAGATGTGGTTTGTAGTAAGTCTTCCTTTTCTTGATTTCAGGTTCTCTGACCGTTAGATATCCCTCACTGAAGTACTCTAGTCAGTGTGTCCAGTACATGGTTATACCTCGTTGTTCTTAGACCATGCACTGCTCTGTAGCTCTGAAGGGTGTGTGTCAGTGTTTCTGCCTTCTGTCAACGAGCCTTACATTTGAATTCACCTATACTCCTTCCACCACTTGATCCACGTACCTTTCTTTTTAGACAGCTAGCCCTGAGTTGGGCTACTCCTCCTTACATCCAAGAAAATATCCTACCTGAATTCTTTACCCAATTATGAGAGGCTGTACTTTTGCATGCCTCCTTTAGCTGTTCTTTCCAGTAATTATCCATCACTTTCTTATCTGTCGTAAGACTGCCCGTTTATAACACTTACTGTGTCGATGAATGCGTCAGTGGACTTGATCGCACTCAGTAGAGTGCGGTTGTGGTACTGTATGCTCTAATGGTTTTAATCCTAGGCCTCTGTCTTTGATGCTGGATTGAAGGTAGCCTATAGGTGCGTTGTGGGGTAGACCGAACTATTTCCTAGTCAAGACGTCAATGTTTGCAAGCTTAGAGGTCCTAACCAGACCAAGTTCCAAGATATAGTGAGGCTTAGGAATAACAAATGCTTTTAAGGTATCGTGCCCGTGTATAGTATCTAGCGTTATTCCCTCCCTTTATCAGGTTTTGTGCTAACTCCATTATGTTATTCATAGTTATACCGTTTGTGATGTATTTTATTGCTAGATATTTAAAGACGTAAGAGGGTCTAAGTGTTTTGATGCTGGTCCCATCGACCAAGTACACAGCTTTGTCAATGCGCGATTTATCATCCTTCCCCAGCCTAGCTATAGTTAGGGAGAATGGTATTGACACATGCACACAAAAGTCCACCCTGTTAACAAAGTATTGATTACCTAAAATATCAACTCTGGAGTTTTTGTAGAAGTATTCGATGTATCTCTCAAATGGTTCTGGTGCACCATGTTTCCGTTATTATAACAATTGTGCTGTGGGATACAGAGTCAAAAGCTTCCGAGATCACTACTGAGCATATAGTTATACTAAGCTGTTTTTTTACTATGTCTGTGTAGTATCTGGGATTAAACAGGTGTCGAAGCAGCTATCTCTTTTAAGAAAGTTTACCTGAGAGTTGAGAGTTAGTACCCGCATACTCCATCTATTCGCTAATACACCATCTCGTATACTCACTACACTAATACGTGTTATTATTTTTTAGGTTTATCGTCAAAAGAAGTGGACTCGTGTACGAACTGATCAATTGGTTGCTGGAGATATTATATCTATTTCTGAGAGTGATCAGAAGTATTGCATTCCCGCTGATGTACTTCTCTTAAGAGGTACATGCATTGTAGATGAATCTATGCTTACTGGGGAATCAGTACCTGTCAGCAAAGTGAGTTCATAACCCATTTTGATAAAAACAATTCTCCTTGAATTACTCAGGTGTATTATTCTGTCTGTTTATTATTCTTATCTTGAAAATTCTGAACATATTCACTAATTTTCTCTTGGTTATTATTCTGTTTTTTGTCATACTCATATTTTCAAGAGTTGGTTTGTAAGGATTAGATTTGTTTTTACGAGTTTGACCACGGATTGATATCAGTTAGAGAACCATTGGAAACCAGGGAGTACTCGACAGCTGTTTCACCCTAGTTTGGGAATCATCGGCAGTATGTACCCACCTAGGACCTTCTGGTTCATCCACTGGGACCCGATTCAATGGGCCATGAATTCTAATTTCTACCAATTGGTGATTTAGCGCGACCCCAACCATTGTCGTAGGTGGGACATCCATCCTCACACGTGACATCTGGATGGACCTCACTGGTCACGACTTCTCACTAGAACTCCAGGAAACTCCGTCCTGTAGCAAGTCACAGCTGTCCACTACTCCCTGGTTTCCAATGGTTCTCTAACTGATATCAATCCGTGGTCAAACTCGTAAATACTCATCTTTGTTTCAGCAATTTGAAAATTCCCATTCAGTCATAGAAAAGAAAAGGCGTTCAGCAAAGAGTTACTCTTTTCGGCGATATCATTCTCAAGCTGTACAAACCGCAAATTTATAGTAATTTTTCTTGGCAACAAAAGGAATATTTCCAAAGATGTGTTAATGCAATTGTTAATTTTTTGACAACAAATTACGTAATTTAGAAGGCGTTAATCGGTTAGAAACTAAAATAAAGTTACAAAAGTAGGTTGGGTGACGTAATCTAATTGATAGGGTTCAATGAAAAATGAATGAGAGTCAAGTTAATAATCTGAGTAGAATTCACTTGAAAATGAATGAGAGTTAAGTTAATAAGCTGAGTAGAATTCACTTAAAAATAAACGAAAATGGAGTTAGCAACAGTCGTCATGAGGGTAGAGATTTAATAGAGGGTGGGGGTAGAAAATAATGCAATTAAGAAACAGACAAACAAAGAAGAAAGAGGTAAGACAAAATTACGTATTTGGTGTTAAGATAGATCAGGACCATTGTAGATTTAGTGACTGAACAAACTTCTTTTGTATGCAGAGTTCAGGATTCAATATGTGAATTGCCATTGCTTCTGCAGTTTGAAGAAGTTTAATTCGTACTCTTTTGGCAAGATTCCCACGTATTGTGTAGATAACTGAGAAGTTGTTTTGTGGGTTTGCTTGGTGTCCGGATTCGATCAAGTGTTCTAGGATAGAGCTGTGGCGGGGGGATCTTCTTTCTCCTTTATAAAACCATGAAGGTAAGTGTTCGCTGATTCGTTTGGATAGCAAACGCTGGGTACGGCCGACATACCTAGCTCCACATGAGCAGGTGAATTGGTAGATGCACATTGATGAGGCCCCCAGTGGAAGCTTATCCTTCACGTTCGTGCGAATCATTGGTTTCGTAGAGAAAGTTAGTCTGAGTTCAGCTGCAAAGAAGGTTTTCTTCAGTGAACGGCACAGGCGGTTTCTCAGTATTTCTGCTGAAGAATCTCCGTTGAATTGTAGATTCAAATAGAGAAGTTTTTTGGGAGCAGTAAGCATGCTTTTCCTTTTATGAATAAAACTGTTATTTAAAAAATCTTGTCACTTAGAGGTATCTTTCTTTTGATTTTACTGACATTGGATTTTCTTTATCCTAATTCTGCTTCAAATAACATTAGACACCACTGTAGACGGTGGTTAGATAAACGTAGCATTCCATCATAACAGCATTCAGCGAAAGTCCGTGATGTCTTCAGTTAGTTTGTCTCCTTCACCTAATTATTATTCTTACCAAATCTCAAACTTGGTACAGTGTATGCTCAGCAAGAAACAGGCACATAAAATAATAAAGCAACATATATGTTACTGCATTCACTTTATAGGGTTAAGATACTGTCCGATTACCATGAAGTGAACTACATTTTCAACCTAGAACTTTGTACAAATTGCAGCACATCAAGTTATCACACTGCGTATCGCACCCAAAGATGGGGAAAAATATTCAAAAGTAGTAAACGGAAGTTTACAGGAGGAAGGATAACTACATGAATAATGAGGGAGAGTGAGAGAGTTCATAAAGATTGAATGCATCTGCACCATTCAGATCGATTTTAAACCATATCACCAAAGATTACAAGTTACTGGTTCTTAGTCAGGCAATTTACCCCCCTCCCCCATGTATGACTAAAGTTAACAATCGAAGACTTAATGGATTAGTGCCATGTTTTGATTTGATCATCCCTAGGTCTTTTCCAACCTAGTTCTTTTTCAAATAATATTGTTCGACGAGTAATGCAATAGCTTAGCATGCTTAACACGTGTCCTAGGTATCTCAATCGGTGTAGTTTTACAACCTCATTGATTGACTTTCTCTTCTTATCTAACACTCCACACTTAGATTTAGTATTACTCACTTTATTATACCACTTAACATAGGATGTAGAAAGCAGACAATTGTAGTCGAAGACAGCTAGTTTATTTAAGTCTTCCACTTTCAATGGCCCGACTGCTCAAACCTAGTCAAATAGTTGTATTCAACGGCCAGCACCGGGCCATTGAATGTTTAAATGTGTGACCTATAGTTATTATCTTAAGAAGGTAGTCGAGTTTGCATATAGTGGATGACCCGACGATATATACTGACTGGGACGAATGTTTATGCTAGTCGGAGTAAATTAGGTGAACTAGTTGGATATCGCTCAGACCGTCATAGTATAGGTCGCATGTACTATGGTGGGTGTCGAGAGCAGTCGTAATGATGGTGGGTAGAATAATTTGTAGCAACAACAAGTACTAATTCACATGTACTTACAGGTCTTTGGGTCATTTTTCCGTTTCGTTTGTAATCGAAATAAGCGTAGCTTATGCACTGTTTTTTTCATTTCTGTTTAAAAAAAACTACTGTTCAATATATTTTGTTGATATATATGTATTTCACAGTTTTGTAATTATTTTTGGTTATTTTTAATTTTTTTATTGACTCTAGGATCCTTGTGAGACTCTTAAAGCAGATGAGCATTTCACATTTGACGAAGGTCATAAGAATCAGATATTATTTGGTGGAACTAAGGTGGTACAGTTCACTCCTCCGTCGAAGTCCACAAATCATCTAAAAGGTTTGCATTATTATTATTATCATAATAATTATTATTATAACATAAACTTATCACATTATAGCCACCAACAGGTGTTCGCACTAAATCACGAATTGGTAGAAGTTAGAGTTCATGGGCTGGCCATTGAATCGGGTCCCAGTGGCTGAATGGTACACGAGCTTGCCTTGTAATGGGAGAGTCCTGGGTTCGAATCCTGGTGGTGGGTACATACTGTCGATGACTCCCAAACTAGGATGAAACAGCTGTCCGGTGGTCGTTGCTGGTTTTCAATGGTTCTCTAACTAATATCAATCTGTGGTGGAACTCGTATAAACCAACAGATGCGTCAAATTATCTCATAGTTTATACAAAGACTGGAATTTAATACCCGAACTCCCATACTGAAGCAGGTGATTGTCTTAATTGTATACCCCAAGTCTTCAGCTTGAAGTCTTACCCACAAGGCAGCTGACCAGCGTCAGGAGCTAATTGCCCATTGTTTCCGGTAACGAAAACAGGTTCATACACCATTCTGTCCCTTCCAGTCCTGGAACTCATGTACACCATAAGTTGGGAATCACTTTTCCACCTCCCCTAGGAAGACCAAATTGTCCAGCGGTCTGGTTGTAAGTGCCGGACTTTTGTGTTTGCCGTTTCACTTTTGTAAGGGACACCACCACCACCATGTGAAGGCAGTGATGAGGACTTACTTACCTGACAGACGCAGTAATTGTAATTTTGTTTGAATGTTAGAGACGTTAAATAAAGCTTAGATACAAGTGACTCACATGTTCATGTCGAGGTAACCGGTCTGTAGACGCCTGTATATCAGGAAATCTGATGTCGTTAGTAACAGCATTTACTTTCGCTATAGCCGATTTAGCGGATTAATGCGAAATTTATTTCATCTTTATGAAGTCTTTGCGTCAGCATACTATGATATGAATTGCACTGTTCCAAATAGTATTTTTAGTTAGACTGGAATTTTCAGCATGTGATGATGTGATGATATAGCAAGAAAATTGACTCTTTCAAAAAATCTTGAAAAGAAATAACAATAGCAACTTTACAATGCTAATAATAATAATATTAATAGTAGTAGTGTAGGTGAAAATATATGAGTGATAGCAAGAATAAAATGTCTGTTTATTTACCGTTACTAAGTTAATGAGTTAGTTATTTTCTAAAAATTATCACTTCACACATAAGGTGATTGCTAAATAAGGTTTAATTGAGTTCTTTTTATACCTAGATAAATTAATATGAGTCAAGTGGTTGAGTGTGTCGATCAATTCACTTATATAGGAAGTTGCATCAGCCAGCGGGTTGATCGCCGACGAAATCTTAGTACGGATACAGAAGGCTTGTTTGGCATTTCCTAGCCATCTTACGCCATCCCTAACGTAGACATGATATCCGATTAGCTGTCTTTGACGATAGATGTTTGCTCCCTACCTCTCGTGTTAAGTGTTATAATATGGTGAGTAATATTGAAGTTAGGTGTAGAGTGTTAGGTAAGTAGAGGAAGTCAGTCGATGAAGTGGTGATGCTAAGTCAGTCGATTGAGATGGTTAGGGCATGTATTACGCATGTCTAGAGATTGTCTCACTCGACGAACAATGTTAACCAACATTAGATTAGGTTGGGGAAGGGTTAAGGGTGGTCAAACCGAATGCTGACATCAGTCCATGAAATCTTTGACTGTTGGTTTGAGCTACGTGGGGAGGTGCAAGCTATATGGTTGGGAGACGTCTGTTCCTGAGACGCTAAGAACCCATAACTTGAGGCTGTTGTTGACATGGCTGAAAATCGTTCTCAGTGGCACAGATGGCTTCACTCTGTGTGAGATTCCCCATATCCACTAAACCGTCATGTGTTTTCCATGATTATTTGGTATTCTTTCCCTCTCACATTTGTGTTTAGTTCAGTCCTCCTGAATGTGTTTTTCTCTTCCTTTTGTGTACGTTTGTGTGGTACATGGAGTGTGGCAACTTGAAGTGCTGCACTTCTGTGCGTGGATCTGTGTTGAAACTCAGTGTTAGTCAGTCATGAGCATAGAGTCTCATGAAATGGCTTCTTGTCTTTCCTGAGGTGATAGAAGAAAAACAGCTGGGAGTAAGGGGGTGTTTATCTTTCGATAGAGTGACTGTGATCAACTGTCTGCAGGATGTTGACTCTCTGACAAGAACAGTGTGAGTCAGTTAAGTCAGTGGCATACCGCTGACTGTACTGACAGCATTCAGTTGCAAACAGGGTGAGGTAGTATATGTTTTATATTAATCTGGAGGCAAAAAGGGGACTATTTGAGGAGACTGGGTAAAATACAGGTATTAGTCAGTTGCAAAAGTACCTAGAAGGTTCTGGATTCAAGCCCCTGTGGGTTTATACTGATGAAGAGTCCCAAAGAAGAGGGAAGAAACAGCTGTTGAGCACTCTTTGATTTTCCAGTAGTTCCGTATCTGACATCAGCGCCTGATCAAACGTGCAACCAATCGAATCCCCGCAAAACAACACTTGCAAAAGTAGTGTTGAAACGAAAGACATTCAGTGATCTTATTTCATGGTTGATTGACCAACTAATGAATGTAGAAATTCTCACAGACCTGGATTAGTCTAAATTGCCGCATTGAAAAAGACCACAAAATATTAGGGAATTGAAGTGGTAGTAGTACAGTGAACGTGTGTAATGGTAAAATTAATTTCGTGATGATTAGCGAAGATGACCAGGATTTCGAAAATTAAAGAATGGATACATCTCCACCATAGTGAACAACTTTTTCCTATCCTCAAAAGTCCAGATGTTGGTTCTTAGCGCTCCTCTAGAATCCCATCCAGACAGCTTACATCTCACACCATTAATCATTAACTTCGTGTTATGGTGTCATTTGTTTTCGTCTAACTACGTCTAGGTGTTTTTTAGCCTCTTCTTAATGCATTTAAATTAGTTTTGTAGTGGAATGAGGTTGATTGACATGAAGATTCTGTGTTTAACCTCACTCAACATTACTTATCATGTTGTTTCACCTAACTTGGTTAACGGAATGAAAACATTTATAATCACAATATAGCGTTTAGAATCCAGACCCATTTACTGCTATCATGCGTCATAATTCTGTGTGTTAAGTTGCACTTCTCTAATCACGTTATTTTAAATGTGTTTCTTCTCTTAATCGTCATGTCGTGTCGTGTATATTTCGAAATTTTAAACAAAGCGTTAATCTTTCTGAATGCATTGACGTACTCCTATTTGATAGGGAGTACTGTTCATTCCTTGTTTAACAAGTTAGGCTTATTCATCAAGCCCCATACAAATATTCAATCGGAAGTAATATTTAAAGGTTTTATACTCTCATTTTTTTTTGAATTTATTTTTAAAGTTTACAATTTAAATTTTCAGGTCACTTTTGAATGATCCTTTCTTCAACTTTTCCTCTTTTTTTTTCTTTCTTTTTAGCCCCTGACAATGGTTGTATTTGTTTTGTACTTCGTACGGGTTTGAGTACTTCACAGGGTCGTTTACTAAAAACAATTATGTACAGTGTGAAAGCGGTTACAGCGAATAATATGGAGAGTTTCTTATTCATTGGATTTCTACTCATTTTCGCTTTGATTGCCTCAGTCTACGTTTGGGTAGAAGGTAAGATGATACATATTTGGTCAGTCATTAGAAACTCTGTATGGGTGTGAGTGTGTGTGTATGTGGTGTAGTGATTGTTTTTAATTAAGGAATCTTCAGTACAGATAAACGTTACGATAAATAACATTTAGCAGTTGTATTGATTATTATTATTATTAAAACATAGGCTTGGTACATACTACCCGGACGCCCAGACCGAAGCGGGTGGTTGTCCTAATGGGGGATCCCAAGTCTTCGGTTTAAAGTCTAATCCACAAGGCATTAGAGAAGCGTCAGGTGCTGCGTCCCATTGTTTCCGGTGTCTGAGGCAGCTTCACACGTCATTCCGATCCCTTTGGGTTGTGAAGCTCCTGTATATCATAGGTTTGGAATCAAACTTTTTCAGCTCACCTAGGTGGACCTGTTTCTCCATCAGTCAGTCCCGATGTAAGTACCAAATGCTCAAATTTTTCCTCTCACTTTTGTGAGGAATACCGCCACCGTAGCGTGAAGGCAGTGAATAGGACTTACCTAGCAGAGGCCATGAACGGGCAGCTTTTCTAGGGAAGACTGAAGTCTACCCACCCTTGGCCGTTAGGCGTAACAGTTTTTTATATATCGGGCTAAAAACCATGCATATTTTATGAGGGCGGATGATGCTTTCCTAGGTGAAGTGGGTAGAGTGGGATTCGAACCTTTGATCCATTGATTAGAAGTCAAGCGCATAATCCAATGAGCCGCGTCTCTACGATGTTGTGCTTATCTCTGTCAATCCTTATTGTTTTCCGTTAAGAAAAAAAAACAACATTAAGTCCCTTTAGTAGACCTAGTTCTATATGAAAAGCCACAGCAGCAGTCAATTTTCTACAAGTATCACCTAGGTTACACTTCTTTTTTGCATATTCTATAGTTTTCCTGATTTATTTTATTTTTGTTTTTATAAAAGCAAATATTTATTGCTCTAGTTTTTGCCTTTATTTTTCTCTCTTCTAAACTTTAGGTACAGCTGATCCTCGTCGTAACCGATATAAACTGTTCCTAGAATGTACACTTATTTTAACATCTGTCATTCCTCAAGAACTCCCAATGGAATTATCTTTAGCTGTGAATTCCTCTTTAATTGCACTGTGCAAACTTAGTAAGTTTTGGTTTTTACAATAAATGCACAACGCCCTTATGACTTCTTATAAAAGTCGTATTTATACACAGGTATCTAGTAATTTTATTCAGATAAATTATCCTAACAAATAAACACCAATAACAAAAAGTCGGTTGGAGTTATTACTCCTCCTCCTCTGCCGCCGCCCCCCATCCCTGAGTTATCACAGTCTAGAGTACAACACCGTTATAACCATTATTGACTTGTGAGGTGACAGAAAACTTGTTAAGAAATGATGCAATTTGTTAGGGTTTGGATCTCCGACACAGTTTAATTCGAATCAATGTGCAATTATTAGGTAGACTGTTGTGCATGGTTTTGTGTGTGAAGATACAATGATGACTGCGCAGAAATGCAGCAGTTCAAGTTGTCACATTCCATGTAGCACACAAAGGTAGATAAAAGAGAGAAAAGCTTATTATTATTCCTTTGGGTTCCGAGTGGGAAATAGGGCTTCAGCAACATATCTCCATTTTTTCTTCTTTCTGCTGTCCTCTTCATCTGGGTCCACGATTGCCCACAATCTCATCTCCTCACACGATCTCTCCTCGGACAGCACACTCGTCGCTTCCCATTAGGATCCCACTCGAGCGATGGCCTAGGACGCGATGTCATTCGATGGCCTCCTCAATGTACGCCCGATCCATCTCCATTTTCCCCTACATATTTGTTGAGCAATCGGCTCTTGGTTGGTTTGTTCCCAATCAGAGTTTCTTATGGCTAGTTCTTTCTGGCCGTCTGGCCATCTTATCTGACACGCAGTGCAAGTTTCTGACCCGTATAGAAGCACTGTCTAACTTCACATTTGTGTTGAAAATCTGAATCTTGTTCCTTATGCTGAGTGTAGAGGATTTCCAAACTGGTTTCAGATTGATGAAGGTGTATCTTGCCTTTCCGATTCTGGCTGGCTGGTTTTGACATCTTCATCCGTTCCGCTGGCATTTGGTTGAAACGATGCTTCCTGGCCAGATAAGTGAAGGAAGTAACCTCTGTCAAATCTTTCCTGTCGATGGTGATTGGTGCTCGTTGTTGCTTTTGGTTGGTTATCTTCATTACCTCCGTCTTCGCTGTGTTCACTTGGAGTCCTGTCTTCGCTGCCTGCCTCTTCAACCAGTCTGTTGGTTTTTGACTGCAAGTCTTCGAATATGCGTGACACTAAACATAAGTCATCTGCGAAATCTAGATCTTCTAGGGTCTTCGTATCGGTGGTCCAGCGTTTTCTTGTCTTCTCACACTCCCTGTGCGCAGTTTGACGCGCAATCTAGTCCGTCAAAATTAAGAATATCATTGTTGATAATAAATAGACAGCCTTTTCTTACTCCTGTATTCACTTCGAACTCCTCTTTCAGTTTTCCGTTGTGGATCACCTGACATGGGGTAGGCATTGCCATCTAGGCATGAATGAGGTTGATGATGATTTGGGCACTGCATACCATAGTTTTGAAGCAGTTTCCAAAATTAAGATTAGATAAAAATAATAGTACTTATTATTATAAGCAGAAACGTGAGGGAGAAGGATAAGAAAATGGAAGAACATGACAATTAAGTAGATATAAAGAATCACAGACATTGAATGCATCTGCACCTTTGACAAAGATTTCTATTCAGACCATCAATAGTCTCCAAGTATTGGTTCTTAGCATCCTGAGGAACCCAGCTCAGCAGTCCATCTCTGTCTACCTAGTTGGCTGAAATCAAACTGTCAAAGACTTCGCGTAGTGATGCCAGCTTTTGGTTTGACCACCCTTAACGTCTTTTCCAACCTGATCTAATGTTGGTTAACGTTGTTTGTCGAGGAAGGCGATAACTCGGCATACGCAACAAACGATGTGACTTCAAATCATGTTGGTCGGGTAATAACTTCACCGAAATTTCAATGAAATGGTTGACTGGTACATAAAACCAACTGAAATGTTATGCATCTTTTGATAAAAATGTCACTTCTATGCAAAAGCTTTTATCAAGATAATAATTATAATAAGGTAGTTATGTTGTAGTAAACGGTCAGGAGTGATACAACTCACTCACCACTATAATCACTGAGTTTACTGATGTGAGTAAGCGCATTTCTGACCGTTGGTTGATTCTTTGCATCTTCTTCTAATACGTGAACTGAATGTTGTTCAGACATGACAAACCATCGCGTTCCTCGTCAAACAATGTTAGCTGACATAGGATTAGTTTGGTAAAGACTTGGGGGCGTTCAAACCAAAAACATGGTATTAATATATGAAATGTTCAGCTGTTGGTTTTAATCACGTGTGTGGTCCTCGAGATGCTAGAACCAATAGCTTGAGACTCTTGGTATGATATGGCACAAAATTGTTCTCAATGACTCAGATGCACTCACACTCACAGATTCATTAAGTCTTCATTATTCTCTATGTAGTTGTTTTTTTGAACTCGTGTACATTCCCAGTCATTGTAGTTCCTTTAAATATTTCTCGGAACACCTTTGTTGTCTGTATATATGGAGCGAGGCAACTTAAACTGTTACACTTCTGTGCAAAGTTCTATGCTGAAAACTCAGTGAGTCAGTCAATTAGTCGAATGAATGTTGTTGTTACATTTGAATTTATTATTGGCGCTTTTTCATTTAAATTGAAGCAAGTGTACAGAAGTAAAATAAATTTGTGATCTCCTCCGTATTATGTATGTATTAAAATTTCTTTTGTTGGTTTTTTTTCTCTCTCTCCAATTCTAATCATATTGCTTAGTGGTCTATTGTACTGAACCGTTTCGAATTCCATTTGCGGGTAAAATTGATATTTGTGCATTCGATAAAACTGGTACTTTGACTGAAGATACGGTTGTCGTTGAAGGTGTAACAGGTTTGAAGTAAGTCATTTACTTTTTGATTAGTATTGGATGGTCTTGATTACTGCCTTTTTTGAAACCTCATTCCTACTCTAACCATTGAGATTTGTTTTCTTCCAATGCTCCACAAGAATTAACCTTTTAAAGAAACTGTACTCAACATCTAGTTGGTAGGGTTTTTAGTGTTTAGCTTCTTGTTTTGAATTGCCCCGATAAACAGCCTTGTGCTGCGGAGGATGGGTAGACTTCGGTCTCCCTCTTGAAATGCTGTCTTGTAGCCACACGTCCATAGCCTCTGTCGCTTAAGTCCTATCCACTGCCTTCACTCTACGGCTGAGGTGTTCCTTAGAAAAGTGAAAAGGCAAATTCGGACAACTGGCGCTTACAATGGGACTGGCTGAAATATAGGTTTACTAAGGGGGACTGCAAAACCTTTATTCCAAACCAGAATCCGAATAGTGTATGAATCTGTTTTGTTCACCTTCAACCATGGGGACATAGCTGCAGACTCTTCTTCACTTCCTTGTAAATCAAACTTCAAATCAAAGACTCGGAGTGACTGCTTAGGTTAACCACTTGCTTCGATTTGGGCGTCCCAGTTATCACACAAATTATGAGACAGCACTTTATTGTTTTAAAATAAATTATTTTTGTGTGGCGGTGCTCATAATATACTAAGTTTATCTTTTGAACAGAATAAACTCTTTTATTTTATTTGCAAAATAATTTCAAAAGTAGCGATTTCACATAGTGTCGTGTTTAGTTAGTTAGAACTCAGCTACGCTGGACAGGTTTTTCACTTACTTGACTATGAGAGCTCCACTTATTGTATGAGAGGGTTAATAATACTGCCGAGTTGCTCACTCTAAAATTGATAAGGTGACTACCGAATCCGCAACCTGATGCTGGGCAGTCGAGTGCTTAATGTGTCTTGTTTTGTAATAATATAAGTGTCATATATCCAGATAGCCGAGATCCTGGACTTATCACTGATTTCAGAAGATGATGTGCGCTTATTGGTCTCATTTAACTTTCAGTTTCACTGAATAAAAAACTAACATTTGCCATCTATTTTATACTTATTAGTCCCACTGTTGATCGAGTTCAACAAGTGTCGACAGTCCTAACTTTGCCAACCATACATGTGGTCCTGGTTCGACTCCTCACTGACTCACACCTAAACATGGCTTAGCTGGTAGTTAGCCTAGTTAGAAGAGAAAGTTGGGCGTGAGGTTAACAACCGCACCCCGTCAATACAACACTACCGATACTGAAACTTAAAGCTCAAGCTTGCAGTCCTATACTCCAATCGAAATGCAAAGGCATGGAAATATATATATGTATATCAACGGGAGAAATTTGAAGGAGGCTACTTCTTACACTTATCCAGGCAGCATAGTATCACCTACAGACGGGGGGGGGTACAGGTGAAAATATCAAAGGCGGGATAGGAAAATCAATACAGACCTTCATTAATCTGAAATCAGTGTGGAAATCTGCTGCATGCAGAATAAGGAATAAGATTTGGATTCTCAACACTGATGTCAAGTCAATCAGTGCTTCTGTATAATTCAAAGACTTTACTGACGAGTTGCCAAAATCACTACCAACAGGCTACTTCCGACTTTCATCAACAGCTACGTTCACTCAGTACTTAGGATTAAATGTCCAGAAAGAACTGACAACAAGAAAGTCTGTCAACGAACCAACCAAGTACCTATTGCTCAAAAAATATGTCAAAAATAGAGGTGGATTGGACATACGCTGTGAGGAGGCCTTGGAGTGACATTACATGCCTGTCCATCTAGTGGAACCTAAGTGGGAAACGACAAGTTGGGCATGGGTCCTTAGGTGATGTGGAGGTGATCGTTTCGGCAGGAGGTAAGATCTCATGGGCAATCTTAGCGCTAGTGAAAAAGGACTGCAGAGAAGAAAGTGAAGTGGAGATGTGGAAGGAGCACTGATGTGTTACATTCGGAACCTAATGGAGTAATTATAGTAATACTCATTATTTAACACTGGTCATTTGGCATTAATATATATGAGTAGTTGTCATCTGTGAATGTAAGAATAAGATTACTTCATTGTTTCATAATAAAATAAAGTTTATTTTTTTTTCTCTGTTCATTTTGTTTAAAATAGTGATCAACCGTCGAATAGATTGTTACCAGTAAAAGATTGTCCACTATCTACTATTCAAGTATTGGCTAGTTGTCATTCACTAATCAATACTACTGGTTCTGGATTAATTGGTGATCCAATGGAGAAAGCAATGTTAGCTTCAACTGGTTGGTCGTTAAATGATCAAAATGAAGTGCATGGACGTACAATACCACGTACTTCTCCATTGAAAATATGCCAGAGGTAAATAGACCCAATGTTCAGTCAGTCAGTTATTGTTATTATTACACTGTTGTCATTTATGTTTTTCCGTATTGTTTTGATTCAATTGTGATTAAAAATTCAATAAAACTAAGCTGTTTTTCCAAGTCACTGTATGTTATTATCTTATTGATCATCTCACAAAGTTTACAGTATATGAAGCGATTCCTGTGAGAGATCATGTTCTATGCCACTGTATGATAAGTGCATTTCACTTTCTTAGTGCATAGTACTTTTGGAAGATTGACTGGCAAATACTGATACCTTCATTCGGTGGTGGTTGGTAATTCGGTGACAGGGATTACTCACCAACCATTCACGTAGTTTGGGGTTGTTTGATTTGTGTCCGGCACGTTTCTAAACACCACTTAGCCCGGTAGTAAGACCGGTTTAAGGGAGGGTAGGTTGTGTGTGAAATTAGCATACCCCATCTAGTTCAAAAGTCAACGTCACTGCTACTGAAGCTTCAAAGATCAAGCTTGAATTCCTATGTTCCAGTTGGAACGTAAAGGAATAATTTTCTATAGTTTGGTTTTTAAGGGTTAGTTATGTTTTTACGAGTTGATCACGGATTGATATTATAAACATAACTGACTCTTACAAACCAAACTATAGAAAATTAATCTGATGCTCGCCAGTGACTTGCTACAGGATGGAGTTTCCTGGAGTTCTAGTGAGAATTTGTGGCCAGTGAGGTTCAACCAGTTGTCACGTGTGAGGATGGATGTCCCACCAACGACTTTGGTTGGGGTTGCACTAAATCACGAATTGGTAGAAGTTAGAATTCATGGGCTGGCCATTGAATCGGGTCCCAGTGTCTGAATAGTATACGAGCTTGCCTTGTAACCGGAAGGTCCTGGGTTCAAACCTTGGTGGTGGGTGCGTACTGCCAATGATTCCCAAACTAGGATGAAACAGCTGTCCAGTAGTCGTTGCTGGTTTTCAATGGTTCTCTAAGTGATATCAATCCGTGATCAAGTCGTAGAGGAATAAAATAAAAATAAAATAATGTACTTTCATTCATTCATTCACACTGGGGAACCGTTAAAGGTAGATGAAAAATTCTGTGGTTTTGTTATGGGTTATGAGTCAAATGTGACTGACACAACTTTCAGTCGTATAGAAAACGTCAGAGCAGCATATGCTAATCTAAGACACATCCCTAACGCCACCTAGATGTTAATCTAGCCGGAAAAGTTCTAATTTACAACACTTCAGTGTGTAGGTATATTCAAGTTGAGGATACATGATAACTTTGAGTGCTTCACTATTGTTGTTGTCTCTGTTAGATTGTCTTAATCTTCGTAGACACCATTTTAAATAATTTTGAGATCTACCCGCGAGTGTTTGATATTTAGGGTGTATAAGCGGATCTTTGTAAGTGGTGCGGTATGGATATGTGCTGCTAATGTCATTCTACTAAGACTTTCACACACTGTTCAACTCCGGAACTGGATGGAGGGGGCAGATAGACGCGGAATAATTGTAAGTGTGAATAAATCAAGACATATAAGACTTCAGACTTTTATCAGCAGCTACCATACGGAAGATCAGATGTCTGACCGGAAATGATGAGTAACAAGCAACTCTGGCAACCAACTATCCCAGAACCTTATTACCCCCAAAAATATGACAAAGGAAATGACGATGGATTGGAAATATGCTAAGAAGATCACTGTCGAGTGACATCGGGCGCCAGACTTTCGATTGGCACCCGGATGTGGGAAACGGTGAGTTGGGCATGGCTCTGAGGGTGACACGGAGGTGTTCGTGTGAAGAGGAGATATTAGCGTTCGGTCGGTTGTGGGGGCTTTTAGAAGGGAGCACTGAGAACAGGATGAAATGGAGATGTCATTTTCAGGGCCTGCATTGCGCGCGATGTCATTCGACAGCCCCCTCAATGTACGACCGATCCATTTCCATCTTCTCCTACATATTTGTTGAGCGATCGGCTCTCGCCTGTTGGTTAATTCCCAGCCAGAGTTTCTTCTTGTTAATCCTTTCTGACCAGCCGGCCATTTGTTCTTCAGTATGGAGCCAGCGATGTGGACAGCTGTTGATAAAAGTCTGCAACCTGTTGGAAATCGTCTTCGTGACCGGCAGTACAAGTTTCTGACCTGTATGGAAGAAGTGACTGACTGACTTCACATTTGTGTTGAAACTCGGAATCTTGTTGTTTATGCTGGCTGAGTGAGTGCAGAAGATTTCCAAGCTGGTTTGAAGTTGATGAAGGTCTATCTTGCCGTTCTGATTCTGGCTGGTTGACCTTGACATCTTCATCCATTCCGACTTCCTGTGGTTGAAACCGTGCTTCCTAGCCGGATAAGATAAAAAAAACCCTCTGTTAAATCTCTCCCTTTGATGGTGATTGTTGCTGTTGCTGTTGGTTGGGTATCTTCACCAATTCCTTCTCCACCTTCTCTATGTCCAGCTGCTTCTTCAGCCAGTTTGTTTGTTTTCGCCTGTAATTCTTCGAGTTTGTGTGACATTATACATATATCATCTATGAAATCCAGATCTTATAGAGTCTTCTTATCGGGCCGACTTTATCCTGTCTTCTCACTCCCATACACAGTCTGACATTCCACCACAATTGGGAATATCGTCAGTGATAATAGGCAGGCAGCTTATACTACTCCTGTATTCACTTCGAATGCCTCCCTGAGTTTTCCGTTATGGATCACTTTTTATGTATCAACGCCATATACCTGTTGGATGAGGTTGATGAAGATTTGGGGCCCTGCAAACTATAGTGTTGAAGCAGTTTCCAAATTACGTCTCGGTCAACACTGTCTATCGAAGGCCTTTTCAAAGTCAATGAAGTTGAGGTGGAGGTTTGATTGCTATTCTATGCTTTTAAATTTCCTGATGAATAACGGATTTGAATCTGGTTAGGAGCACTATCAATCACTAAAAAAATGGCAAATATGTCCAGGTACCAAGGTTTTATATAGAATGAAACATGCAACCTAGACGCCGTTGTTTTCCGTTACTAATGAAAAGAATATCACAATTAAAGAGACAGAAAAATATTGTATGAAAATGTAGGAAATAAATGAAGAACTAAAAAGGTAATTGATCTTGGAATTAGATTACTGACATTATTTACAATGCATTGTGAACGCAATGTCAATCTTGTAATGTTTTTTTTCTCCCGGTACATATCTGTCTTCATTTGTGTTACTTTTTCTCCAGTGACAGTGTAAATTGATTAGCTATTTTGACTGACACACTAATTCTTGCTTCACTGTTGGGTGGGTAGTTGTATTTCATTCACATTTCCCTTTTTCACGTCACTGCGTAATTGGAAGGGACGGGATGAAAATAGATAGAGAATTAATGTTAATATTGTTATATTGCAGAAATGTTCAGAATGCTAACTGTCTATGTGTGTATCACATTCCCCCTTCCCCCCTCCTCCTAGATTTCGTTTCGATAGTGCATTGCGCCGAATGTCAGTTGTTGTCAGCCATTATCTACCAGCTTCTGTGGAACAAAATTATCTAGCTTGTGTCAAGGGGTCACCGGAGACAATTCTTCCAATGCTTGTTGACGCTCCACCAGATTATGAAGAAGCTTATCTCACTGCAGCTAGACGTGGTGCTCGTGTTTTGGCGTTAGGACAAAAGATATTAGGACAGTTGAGTCATGAACAGGTTGGTTTTTTTAATTGTTGATTATAAATAAGTGTTAATTGCCTCGAAGTTAGTGTTGCTTAAATGTAGAGTAGTAATTGAGTTGTATTCATTCCTACTTTTCGCATTGTTTTTGAAGCTATACAACTAAAAAGCTGGAGTTATGTTGGACTCATGTACTAGTAGTATCTGATTATTGAAATGCCTTATTGTTACTAGTAGTGTAATGTAGGGTTCGTATGCCGATATGTCAGCATATGTACCGCTGCTAACAGTGATACTCATATTTCCAGTGTCCATTTGAGCAAAGCATAGATGTTGTACCTTACTACTTATTTCCTGACATCGGACTCCGCTCATATATAGCATTAGATGTTAAAAGTCTACTTACAGGGATCTTTGTAAGTCGATTTTATGATTATTGCATGCGTCAATAAGGTGTATTTGTTAACGTTGGGAAACGGATACTCTCTCTGAAGTCCAGAAGTCATATAACTTACTGCTATGCTATTTAAGTGATGAACGGACACACCTTAGTATTACATTATGTAGAGTAGTTAACATGTAGCATTCACTGATTTCTATGCTTGAGTACATTATCCATGGTGCTGGTGAGTGATATATACCCCATAAAGTTTGATCACAGATCGATATCGGTTAGAGAACTATTGAAAAATAAGGAAGAATTCGAGGACCGTTTCGTCCTAGTTCGGGACTCTTCGGCAACACACACATGATCTGACCAGAGATAGAATCCAAGGTCTTCAGGTTACGAGGCGATCCTATTTACGAATGAGCTACTGGGACGGAATTGACAGAAGTCAGAATTCATGTGGATTATTGGATTTTGTCCAGGCGTCTAAATGGTCAACTGGCCGGCGTCGTAATCTGAAAGCCTTGGGTTTAGTCCCCCGTGAGGTTGTGGGTGATTACCGATAAGTATTCTCTTAAACTACAACGAAACAGCTGTCCAGTACGCCTTGGTTTTCAATGGTTCTCTAACTGATATCAATCTGTGCTCAAACTTTAAAACGATCAAATCCCAACAAACCAACACATGAGAATTTAATGCTTAACTTTTTAGGATTGAAAATAAAAAGGTTCCAATTTCAAGTCACTCATGCATATTTATGCACTCAATAGATCCTGAAGAGAGAGCGAAATTCTTATTTGGAGTTCTATTGCTGATCCACTTTAGAAAGTAGTGGATTCTTTTTCCTCATGTGTACGGATGTAAATTTTGAGCTAATCAAATTATCAGTTAATTCATAATTGTGTTTTCCTGTTGACATACATCTAGACCAGACTGATTAGACTCATTTTAGAATCTAGGCTCCTTGAATGGATATCTCATTGCTAGTGCGTAAAGTACTTAGAGCTGTGGCTCATTGGTCTTGACACTTGACTTCCAATCAATGGGTCACAGATTCGATTCCTGCTCCATCTACCAAGGTTCAGGCTGTCAAACAGTATCACAAGCCCTGCACACAATAGGTGTGGCTCATTGCAAATTGCATAGATTGGCAATTGGTTAACCATACAAAGTTACAATGTTAGTAATGGCTGTCGTAACGTAGTGACCTGATGGATAAAGCTGTGGCGTTTGGGGCAATAGGTGCCTAGGTTCGAGTCTCAATTGGAATACAGTATCACTCACTGAGAAATGAGTGTGGGTACCTCCACATATGTAGTGAATAATTTAAAAAAAATCATAGCTGTAATTGTTTTCTTTTTTAAAAAATACATTTTTTAGGTGAGAGATTTAACCCGTGAAGCAGTTGAATCAAATATGAATTTTTGTGGTTTTGTCATTATCTCTTGTCCATTGAAACCGGATTCAAGAAGTGTTGTACAACAATTGCTCAACTCTAGTCATCATGTTACTATGATTACTGGTGATAACCCGTTAACTGCTTGTCATGTAAGCAGTTTAGTTGGTATGACACGATCTGATACTCCTGTGCTTGTTTTAACACCACCGAATCCATTACGTAAGTATAATCGATCTTTCTTGAGTTTTTTGTCTTTATTTTCCGTTTTCCTTCTGGGTGGAATATCTTAGGGCTTTAAGCTGGAGCTTTGAAGTTTCAGTAGTAGTAGTGTTATTATAAAGAGATGGGGCGGTAGCTAGTCTTACACCTCCAACGTTCCCCCTTATACGTGCTTATTATTGGTTGGTGAACTAAGTGAGGTCTAGGAGTGTGCATTGACCGGGCGTCGAACCCCAAACCATATTTGTGGTTTGTGAGCATTCTGCCGCTGAACGACTGTAGCGCAGATCTTTTACTATTATTATTATTATTCCCTTGAGTTCCGAGTGGAACATAGGGCTTCAACAACACATCTTCTGCCATCCTCTTCAGCTTGGACCACGATTGCCCACAATCTCTCGTCTCCTCCTCACGCGATCTCCTCCATGTCACCCTAGGACGACCTACTCGTTGTTTACTATTTGGGTTCCACTTGAGTGATCACCTGCATTGCGCGTGATGTCATTAGATGGCCTCGTCAACGTATACCCAATCCATCTCCATTTTCTCCTACATATTTGTTGAGCAATCGGCTCTTGGTTGGTTCGTTGCCAGCCGGAGTTTCTTGTTACTAATTATTTCTGGTCGGCTAGTCATTTGATCTTCAGTATGGAGCTAGCGAAGGTGGCAGCTGTTGATGAAAGTCTGCAGTGGCCTGTTGGAAATCTTTACCGTGACACGCACTGCAAGTTTCTGACCCGTATAGAAGGACCGATTTGACAGTTGTGTTGAAAATGCAGATCTTGTTCCTTATGCTGAGTGCAGAAGATTTCCAAACTGGTTTCATGTTGATGAATGCGTGTCTTACCTTTCGGATTCTGGGTGGCTGGCTTTGACATATTCATCCTTTCCGACTTCCTGTATTTGAAACTATGCTTCTTAGCCAGATAAGTCAAGGAAGTAACCTCTGTTAAGTATTTACTAGAATAATATTCACTTACTGACATTCACTGCTTTAATTGTATTTATGAGTTTCATACGATCAATTCCCCTTATTAGTTCGAACAAAGAAAGAAAGAAAATATTTGTAGGATGGATAATACGAGCTCGTTTTTATTTTTCATGGATTCTTGTCAACTGTATACAACCTAAGCAATATCAAAATATAAGTTACAAAAGGTTTGAATATACTTTTATCACAGTGACATTGAGAGAGTTATTAATAGGATGTATAAGCAACATAATCCCGAAATGATGTAAGCAGTCAAATTACTCAGTGTTAGGAAAAGTTAACTATTTATTGTGCACAATATGATGGAAAGCTCGAGACGGTGAGAGTGAAAAGTGACAGTAAATTATGAGATAGGCAAACACGAAATTCCTACGTAACACTTTGCCTAATTTTAGTTTTCACTTACTGAGCTGAACTCACTACCAAGTTTCCTAAATTTACTTAGTTGTCTGTTTATGTCATCAGTGTTTACTTTTACTTTTCACTCCCATCCTCTCTAACTTTCCATTATATTATGTAGAAATTCATTATGTTGTCTTAAGTCAATCCTTGTTTCTAAATCGAATCTGAACTGTGACCCTGCCCTTCTTGTCTGTATATACTATAAGTAGTTGGCTTTTCTATCGCTGAACATATTGCTTATACTTCCTATTAATGACTCTCTCAATATCACTGTGATAAAAGTATACTCAAACTTTTTGTAACTTATATTTTGATACTGCTCAGGTTGTATACAGTTGACAAGATTCCGTGAAATATAAAACGAGCTCGTATTATCCATTCTACAAATATTTGCGTTCTTTCTTTGTATTTATCAGTTGTTTGGCATTTAGAAAAGAAATGTTCAACACATACTGATTGACTGAAGATGAAGTAGATAAAGGTGGATGATGATCTGGAGAGTTTCGTATGCTTTTGGAAGTTTGTGGGTGGCTGTTACTTCCTGGCTGCCCACACCGTGGAAGTTGATTTTTTCATGGGGTATCTAGAATAGGAAAGAGCGTTAGTGTTGTATGACCAGACAGACAATGGGACTGCTTCTTGAGGCCGGTTACATGTGGCCATTTTGAATTAGTTTTTTAAGTTTTTTTTCCCGTATTAGGAACTTACCGTCGACTACGGACTACTGTAGGGTAAGTTGGGATTTACAATTTTCGGGGTCGACCTTTTCTAGCCCTCACCCGTCTCTCCAGAGTGGAGAGGCGGCAGATAACTGGCATGCTGGTCGTCTACTGTTACTTCCCTTTTGCCCAGCAGTGAGGTTGTGCCCACAGACCCCAAGCACAGTGTAATCAGCTCATACTATGACGGTAACTGCTTTTAGTTTAATCGTTATTGTAACAACCTTCTTGACATGGTAGGACATGATGCAGGAACATTAGTTCCAGCCAGTGTGTAGCTTGTTGGGTGATTGTGATATGCAAGTTTGACCATCATATTAACATGGCAGCATATCTATCTTATGAATTTTCAAATTCTCTTTACATGCGTCATTAGATGGCCATTCATTCGATAACTGATATGCATTAAATTTACCTCTGTTTGTTTCGTTTGTGCATTTCTTGACAATATCAACACTTATTGTTTTGTTTTCGTTTATATTCTTATAAAACCTTTAAGTTAAAGCATATTGATTGATCGAAAGAAAAAGAGAAAGATATCTCTTTCGGTAAATTTTATATGCTTATAACGCTTTCATTTCAATAATGATCCGTTATGTATGATAATACCAGAGTAGTAAATAGTAGATGTTTATGTGTACGTGTGTGTGTGTATGTTTATGTATGCTTTTGAACATGTATGTAGAGCTGTATGATAGGCGTTATCCTAGAAAATTGTACGATTGTTTCAAAAAATCTCTGAGATATGAGATGGTGATAATCGATATAGTATGCGTACTGTTTGTCCTTTGGTGCTTAGAGTCATGTCATTCATTGTCTGCACCCCTGGATAGTCTATACAATGTTGTTTTTCTCAGTTTGTGGCTAACGATTGGAAAATGAGTTTGCAGAATATACACTGATTAGATCATTGGAAATACTAAAAAGACGGTTGAAGTTGAGTTAGTTGTGTTCTCTGAGCTGGTTGATTTAATTGTGAAGCTTTCGTCGTCCTTCTAGACAGCATCTTCAGCGCAGGTTTGAGTTTTTATACTATAACCTGCGCTGAAGATGTTGCTAGAAGGACGACGAAAGCTTCACAATTTAATCAACCAGCTGGGAGAACACAATTAATTCAATATCATCCACCTGAGCCACAAATCCTCTCCATTGAGAGTGGAAGACATGAAAAGACTAGCTGTCTTTGATCATAGGTGCCTGCGTTCTATCTCCCGTGTGTGTTAGGTGGTATAATAGGGTGATCAGTATTGAGGTTAGGCATCGGTCGAGTGCTAGGTAAGGACGAAGGGGGGAATCAATAAACAAGGCCGTGAAGTTCCATCGATTGAGATGGTTAGGATAAGTGTGACGCATGCCTAGTCATTGCCTTCTTCGACGGGCAATGTCAGCTGACATAGGGTCAGGTTGGAAAAGAGCCATTGGTTGTCAAACCAAAACATGGCCTCATCAGTCAATGAAATCCACAACAGTTAGTTTAAGCCAGCCACGTAGGAAGGTGTAGACTTCCTGACTGGTTGGGGTCCTCGGGACGGTAAAAATCAATGGCTGGAGACAATCGGTGATATGGCTCAAAATTGTTGTCAATGGCTGGTGCAGATGCATCTACTCCTTGTGACTTATGATTTCCAATCAAACTGTTTTGTTCTTCGTTATTACTACTCCTTTGTCTCCTGCCTCTGTTTCTCCTATTTTCTTCTCTTGCTTTGTGTGCTACATGGAGGGAGTGTAGCGACTTGAACTGCTGCACATCGGTGCAAAGTTCTATGTCGAAAACAGACAGACAGACAGACCATTATTTCAAGACGGTTGAAGTGAAGAGAATTTTTCTTTTCTACGAAGTAATCAATTACGCTGCACATTAATGAAAGGGTGAGGAGGTTCTAGAACTGTTTCCGGTCGAGGGCCAAGTTATCACAAAAAAATACGATTAACAAACAGCGATTAAAAACGTGATAACAACAAGAATAAACAGGAAGTTTGGATAAAAACATAATCGGATAGTAATTATTGAAAAAAATGCTTCTGTGGATCTGACAAAACTGGCCGTACCATGTGTCCTCTTGTAAAACGCGCTCGAGAATACTATCCAGCTTGGCTAGTGGAATGAGAATGTAGGTTTGTTTACAGGGGATCCAGCTCCACTTGAAAAATCCTTCTAAGTTCTACATAAGTTTCGATTAAACCTCCCAAGGGGAGTGAGACTAAGACATCTGGACATAGCTGAGGGAGTAATGATCGAAAAATTCAAACCAACCGTATCTACTCAAAAGAAGTATGCTCAACCTTTGTCTTTACCATGGCCATCATAAACAGCCAATTTTCTCAATAATTATTATCCAACTATGTTTTTATCCGAACTTCCTGTTCATTTTCGTTATTATCACGTTTTTGATCCCTATTTGTATAATCTTATTATTCATTATAATTTGAGCCTCGATCGGAAATATTTCTGGAACTTTCTCACTCGTTTACTATGTATTCACGAATGTATGACCAAGTTGATGACTTTGTCGGAAAGAAAATGAGTTTGCAGCTGTCGAAATTCGGATTTTCAACAGCAATATTAAGTCAGTTCTTCTATGTGAGTTAGAAAATTGAACCGCCATGGAGAGCAAGTGGAACGGACCGTTGAAAACTTTTTTCAACAGCTGCTCTCTACGCTCCATATCAGAGATCAAATGGCCGGAAAGAATGAGCAGTGAGGAACTCTGGGAATGAACGAATCAAGAACCTAATGCTCAGGAAATATACCGAAGGAAATAGAGATGGATCGTGACATATGCTAAGAAGACCGTCGGATAACATCGCGCACCAGGCCATCGAGTGGAACCCGAATGGGAAGGTAGTTGAGCGTCCGAGGATGACATGGAGGAGATTGTATCAGGAGGAGGTGAAAACTTATGGACAGTGGTGGGGCCAACTGAAGAGGGCTGAAGAGGACAGGATAAAATAGATGTGTGCTATTAAACCCAAAGGAATAATAATAGTTATTAGCTGTGTAATAACGTTTTACTCATTATCTGTTATGTTTTGTTGTTATCCACTGATTTATGAATTACTTTACAAATTATAGAGTTGAATTATTGGGACGCTATTTCAATTATTATGGGATAAAGTTTTGAATTCTCGGATCGTCTCTTGTTGGAATGCATGATATTCTTTCAGTTTATATTTTCTAGGATCAGGAGGAGACAGTCGTTTCAGTGCCATCCTAGTCACCATCTTCAGTGGAAGTTGAGAATGAGATTGTTAAGAGTAATTTGTATCTGTGTTCGTCTTATACTTTTTCCTTCTAAACATAATGATATTATAATTGTTTTGATGATTTTCCCCCTGGTATTTTAGATGAAAAATGGCATTGGCAGTCAGTTGATGAGTCTATTGTGTTACCTGTTTTCGATGAAACAAAACATACAAACTCTAAACTAAAACAACTTGCCAGTAAGCATGAATTGTGTTTAACCGGTGAAGGCATTGATTTCCTGTCTAAGTCGAATCCAACTTTTCTACAGAATTTAATACCCAAAGTTAAAATCTATGCTCGTGTTGCACCGAAACAAAAAGAATCCATTCTGGTTGAACTTAAGCGTATGGGATATGTAACATTAATGTGTGGTGATGGAACAAATGATGTTGGCGCTTTAAAGCAAGCACATGTTGGTGAGTAGTAGTTTTGTTGTCTTTTTGTTGTTGCTGAGTATTTTAAGTTTTTATCGTTTATTTTTATTCCTTTACGTTCCCAATGTAACGTAGGGCTTCAAACTAGAGCTTTGAAGTTCCAGTGGCAGTGGTGTTTATTTTCACGGGATGGGGTTGCTAGCCTCATGCCCAACCTTCCCTCTTTACGAATCTTATTCCTGGCTTAGCGAGGTTAAACGAGTGCGTCGGCCGAGGATCGAACTCCGGACCACATGCGTGGTTGGCGAGCAAAGTTTCTATTGTATTAAATTTAATTAAATTTTGTATGATAACGTGTTGTCATTGGGAATTGCCTAACATTGCTTTACAAGTTGGTTTATTTATCGTTACTAAATTGATGACTTAGTTATTTTTCTAAATATTATCGCTCCACACATGAGGTGACTGCTAAATAAGCTGTGGCTGAGTTCTTTTTATACCTAGACAAATGAGCATAATAAAAATAGGGAGTGAAGTGGTTGAGTGTGTCGACCAATGCGCACCTATTTGGGAAGTTGCATCAGCCAACGGCAGCGGGTTGATCGCTGACGAAATCTCAGCACGGATACGGAAGGCTCATTTGGCTCCTGCCAAGTTATGCCATTTCTGGCGTAGACATGATATCCAGTTATAGATCAAAGGACGCTTGCACTGCTCAACACTTCGCTCTATCCTGCTTTATGGCTGTGAAACATGGTTATTGAAAATGGAAGATATGGAACGATTAGCTGTTTTTGACGATGTATGTTTGTTCTCTATCTCCCATGTTAAGTGCTATAATATGGCGAGTAATATTGAAGTTAGGTGTAGAGTGTTAGGTAAGTAGAGGAAGTTAATCGATGCAGTGGTGATGCTAAGTCAGTCGATTGAGATGGCTACGGCATGTATTACGTATGTCTAGCCATTGTCTCACTCGACGAACAATGTTAACCAACATTGGATTAAGTTGGGAAAGGGTTAAGGGTGGTCAAATCAAATGCTGACATCACTCCATGAAATCTTTGACTTTTGGTTTGAGCTGCGTGGGGAGGTGCAGGCTGTGTGGTTGGGGTCCCTGAGACGCTAAGAACCCATAACTTGAGGCTTTTGTTGACATGGCTGAAAATCGTTCTCAGTGGCACAGATGGCTTCACTCTGTGTGAGATTCCCCATATCCACTAAACCGTCATGTGTTTTCCATGATCATTTAGTATTCTTTCCCTCACATTTGTGTTTAGTTCAGTCCTCCTGAATGTGTTTTTCTCTTCCTTTTGTGTACGTTTGTGTGGTACATGGAGTGTGGCAACTTGAAGTGCTGCACTTCTGTGCGTGGTTCTATGTTGAAACTCAGTGTTAGTCAGTCATGAGCATAAAGTCTCATGAAATGGCTTCTTGTCTTTCCTGAGGTGATAGAAGGAAAAAAGCTAGGATTGAGGGAATGTTTATCAATCAGTAGAGTGACTGTGATCAACTGTCTGCAGGATGTTGACTCTTTGACAAGAACAGTGTGAGTCAGCACAGTCAGTGGCATACCACTGACTGTGCTGACAGCATTCAGTTGTAAACGGGGGAAGAAAAAGGGGATTAGTTGAGAGGACTGGGTAAAATACAGGTATTAATCAGTTGCAAAAGTAGCCAGAAGACCCTGGTTTCAGGTCCATGTATGTGTATACTGCTGAAGAGTCTCAAAGAAGAGGGAAGAAACAACTGTTCAGCACTCTTTGATTTTCCAGTAGTTCCGTAACTGACGTCAGCTCGTGATCAAACGTCTATCTTCTCGAATCCGTGGAAACCAACCCGAGATTTTTTTAATGCTTAAAATGTATTATGTGGACTGTATGAGAATGTTTCCATCTTGACGCATACGAGTGCCAACATTATTGGTTAATTGAACACTAAACACTTGACTAGGATTCCTTTACTTTGTCTCTTTTTCTTGTTTTTTGTTGTTGTAAAACTGTATACTTTATCTACGAGTCCACAGACTTTGTAAGTTGAATTCATTGTACATATATTCCGGGTGAATATTTCATACAAACTTACAACACTGATCAATTAAAGTTAAACCTATCTGACGGAGTGTTACCGCATAGTTTACATCATGAGTGAATCCATTGTCAAAATGAATGGCCATGTATAACATAGATGGTGTAATTAGAAATAAACGTTCTGGTGAAGCCATAGTAGCAATAAGTAAAGATACATCGCCTTTATAAAGACAATGTAATCTTAGGAAATGTTTCTCACTAAATATAAGTGACTGGTGTACAACTAAACTATATGTAACCTTAGGGTTAGTATTAAGTAAAGTTGGACAACTCCATCACTGGACCATCCATGGAATATGATTACAAGAATCCAGTATAATTGTTAAGGGTAAACGGAATGTACGAAGTAATCCAGATAAAAAATGTACACCAGAAATATTTTCTGGATTAGGAGTAATATTTAATAAAAGTTTAAGAAGAAGAAGGAGGAGGTTTAGAATGTCTTGTACTAAGATAAATAAATAGTACGCGAAGAAGGCTTAACCGTGACAATTTTTATTTGCCGAAATATTCGCCTCCGAAACACGACACCGATTTGTTCTGCTAAAGCCCTATATTCCACTAAAAGTTCAAGGAGATTACTAATAATTATCATACCTAATCGATTCAGTAGAGTTTAAAAGTTGATGCATTGACTGTCTGATATTTACTCACTATAGCTCAATGTAGATTCCCTCTACGGAAAAGGTTTACAATACTATTTGTCACCTGATTGTACTTATTCTCCCTTTGTACAATGAATGAAGTAATCTTTCTTTATTTGGTTACCTTTTTGTATGTTCTGTCTAATCCTCAGTTGTAACTTGTCTGTCCTATATGCATACTAATAACGTTTTTTCTTTAAAAATCTTTTTCTGTATACACTAGGTGTTGCACTGCTCAATGAAGCTAGCGTAGTTCGTAGTTTTTTGGATTTACTCGACACGAAAAAGCCAAACCATAACGGTACAATTAATCGTTCCATCAATCGTGGAAATCGTTCAGATAAAAACACTGCAAATTCAATTGGAAACAATAAAGCTACAGCATCTTCACGTTTAGCTTCAAGTTTGGCTGCTGTTGAAGAACAAGATGCATCAGTAGTCCGTTTAGGTGATGCTAGTATAGCGGCTCCTTTCACTGCCAAAATGTCTTCCCCATCAGGAGGTAAGGTTATCCTCTTAGCTTTGTTGCTTTTTATCCTCTAATGCTTTTAAATTACAAACATAATCTTACTAGCTTTGAGGATTATTGCAGAAATCTTGAGAGGTGTTCAAGGTGTTGTTATTAGATGGTTGGAGGCAATCGGCAGGAAGTCGTAGACAATAATAATAGTCATAACATCTAATAACAACAATCCACAGTGCACCGTGACGGTGAGCCACCTAGCTCGCTGATAACCACATTGCAAACTTGACTGATAGAATTCAGTCTGTACCAAACAAAGAACTAGATGCATGATCCTAGTTACTTACTAGTGTCCAATAATAGAATTCAAGATATGTTAGTAACCAACATCTCCCACTTCTGTATAACCTGGACACTGTCTAGACTTCAATCTTTTAGTCTTTTCAAATTGAGCGGAAGCGGGGCATACTTGAAGATCCTGTTAGCACACGAGTCTTTTTCATTTTCTTCTTTGTCGTTCATTTGATCGATTAATTATCTAGTTAGCGCTTTCGTGGTGTTACAAAATCCTAAATTAGTGTTGAGGACTCTATAACTCCAACTATGTTACATAATACGGTTTATCGTAGAGTCTTCGCTAGCCCTAATTTTCCAACCGAGTGTAAACATGAAAAATCTAGATTTGAACTGTTCACGCAGCATGGGTTGGTGAAAACCACATTGCACTTTAACTGTCCAGTTAGACAGAGTTTACCAGTGCGTGCACTTACTGTTATTTGATCTGCTTTGTCTACGCTGCTGGTGGGGAATTCCGATCGCTGCGATAACTTCGTCGATATCTCTTCTTCTTTTAAGATTTCTTACAAATGTAGGCCTAAGGACTTGAAGTGCATGCCGAATCTTCATTTGTACAATATGTTTCTAAAAACGATCTACTAATACATACTATAAAATATAGCACCTCCAAAGCCTCAGGATGGTCGGGGGTGGATGCCTTGCGCTGCGGGTTGGCCACCCCTCCACTCACCTCTTGAAGTGCTCCCATATGACCAGGCGTCTTACATAGCCTCTCCTGAGGAAGTCCTACTCACTGCCTTCACGTGGCGGAGGTGTTTTTTTTCACCAAAGTGAGAGGGCGAAAGCGGATGCCCGGCGCTCTTCACCGGGTTGACTGTCCATTGGATGACAGTCTAGGGAAGATGGCTAAACCCTGATTCCAAACCTCCAACGACTGGCGTATGAAGCTCACTGGAGCTCACCGGCAGACGTATGGACAAAGGGCTTGTTGGATGTCCTGGATGTCTGGCCCCATTCAAAAAGGCGTATGAACCGAACTCCGGTCACCGGCTGCCAATGGATAGTGGACTCCCTACTCCACTCCTACTGCCTTGTAGGTCACACTTGGTTGTGTAAAGGCTAGAGCTGCACTCTCAGACAAAAGGCCGAGCGATATTGGGGACATCGCTCGTACCAAATTCCCATGAAACTTCATGAACTCTCTTACAAACGACGCAAAACCTTGCATCAGATCGCCGCGCCTGGGCAGCGATGATTCGAGATGTTCATGAAGCCGGCTCATCCTCCCGTAGGAGATAACCGAAGTGAAATAGTAAAAAAAGTAAGAATAAAATATAGCCTTCATGATCATGAACTGGCTTATCAGTGAATAATAAACTTGAATATTTGTAGGGGTCATCGATACTATAGAAAAGTGTATGATTTTTGAAGTGAAAAAGAAACTTCCCAGCCATTATATTGGTTTTTTGTGAGATATATTCGAAAGTTTTATCTGCATGAAGAAGTCAGTATCATTCAATTATGAAGAGAATCACTTTTTCAGTAGAATTCCATCATTGAAGTCACCATTAAAAATTATTATCATTAAATGTTGGATTGAAATGTTGATCACGAATTTATTTAAGTTAAAGAAGGAATCATAGCAAACCCAGGAGTACTACTAGACAGTTGTTTTGTCCTTGTCTGAGACTCGTCATCAGCGCGCACCTACTACCCCACTACAGCTGGAACCCAGGGAGCTAACTGACCATTGATTGAGTTACTGTGACGGAATTCAGCGGCTCATCATTTCTAACTTGTGCCAATTCACGATATATAGTTCAACCAGTAGGTTCTGGGTTCGATGCCTGTCTAGACTACACAGACTTCGCACAATAAGTGTGTGGCTTCCAACCTTTTTTGGGCTAACTTGGTTCTACTTATGTCTGTGTATAAGAAGAAGTCATCTTGGGCATTATTGTCATTACAATTATATCCTTATGTGAAAGGAGGATTACATAGTGGCTTCTAGTCATATTATTCATGAATTTGAGCAGAGAAAAAGCAAATATTGGTTCGGAATAACATGGATCTTTTTTATTTCGTCGACTCTCATCAGCTGCGTACAACTTACAATCTTAAGTAAATAAAAGTCAGTGTAAAATTCGACATGCTTTTGTTTGTCAACAAGCATATTATACGAGTGTCATGGTGAGATAAAACATCAGGATGACAAGGTAGCTGAAGTATATATGCATATACATATATCCTGTTAGAAAGAAGTTTCCGGGAAGTTCATTGACAAGTCTTGTTAGGGTGGTAATAAAAAAATTATTAAAAATTACGTGGCTAGATGAATTTGCTGTGCGAGAGGTCAAATGAAAAGCTGATTATGTAATATCATAAGGTCAAGAAGAATTACCTCTTATGGAAGTGAAACAGAAAGAAAACAGGTGTGTGTGTGTGTGGGGAGGGAAGGGTTGAAAAACAAAGAGTTATTACGGGATGATTCACTAGGGTAATTGGAATCCAACGGTAGATTCCATTTGGACACATAGGTCAGGTGTCAGCCGTTTTATTGCGACAGTTTGAGCAACACGACGAAGACCTGAGCTGTTTTATCTGTTAATTATTTTTAAATGATTCAAACGCGTCTGTTCGGTGCCCAGTGTCTGTCAGGTGTTTCATAGTTGAAGAGTTTAAAGTGTTTGTCTGCTTCAACCGTAAGCTCCTTGGTTCTTGTTCGAAGAATCTGACGTGGGCTCTTCTTTCTGTTCTCCCGATATAACTCCACCCGCAGATACATGTGATCATAGTGTACACATGTTATTCTTTTCTGTTCAAATTTATAAGAGGGAATTCTTGTACAAAATTCACGAATTTATTGTTTTAATGTAAACAACGTCTGTCTATGTGTCTATATATATGTGTGAGACTGTATTTTTTTCCACTATTTATTTTTCTTTCTTCAGTATGTGAAATTGTTATGCAAGGACGTTGTACTCTGGTGACAACATTACAAATGTATAAGATATTGGCAATTAATGCATTGATAACAGCCTATAGTTCATCAGTTTTATTCTTAAAAGGATTTAAAATATCCGATTCTCAAGCAACTATTCGAGCTCTTCTACTATCAGCGTGTTTCTTGTTCATTTCACGGTCGAAGGTATGTGTTTGTATCTTTTAAATTTCTTTATATTTTGATTTGTTTAAGACTTTAAGTCGTTTTGTCTTTCATGTTGTTTTCGACGAATTCATTTTCCTATTTAGCAGCTATACAATCACATTTATTTACAGGGCCTTTTTTTGTCACGGAAGAGGATGTTTATAGAACACTATTTAAGCTAGCAAATACGTGTTTTCGGTAAATTCTCATCAGGCTTGGCATTTAGGTAATGGAATATTAGTCATAGGCATTTGAATATCGGTCGGTCGGTCGGTTTTCGACATAGAACTTTGCACATATGTGCGGCAGTTCAAGTCGCCACAATCTATGTAGCACGCAAAGCAAGAGAAGAAAGTAGAAGAAATGCATAATATAGACAGTAAACAGAGGTGTGAGACAAAGGAATAGTAATAACGGAGAACAAAAGTTTAATTGGAAATCATAAGTCACAAGGAGTGGATGCATCTGCGCCACTGAGAACGATTTTGAGCCATGTCACCAGCTGTTTCCAACCATTGGTTTTTACCGTCCCGAGGACCCCAACCATTCTGGAAGTCTACACCTTCCTACGTGGCTTAGACTAACTATTGTGGATCTCATTGACTGGTGCCATGTTTTGGTTTGACCGCCGCTAGCTCTTTTCCAGCCTGATCCTATATCAGCTAACATTGCTCGTCGAGGAAGGCGATGACTAGGCATACGTAGCACATGTCCTAACCATCTCAGTCGAAGTAATTTCACAGTCTCGTCGATTGATTTCCCCTCCTTACCTAGCACTCGACGCCTAACCTCAATATTGCTCACCTTATTATACCACTTCACGCGGGAGATAGAACGCAGACACCTATGATCGAAGACAGCTAATCTTTTCATGTCTTCTGCTCTCAATGGCCAGGTCTCACAGCCATAAAGGAGGACGGAGCGGACTGTTGAGCAGTACACACGCCCTTTGGTCGATAGTCGGATATCGCGTCTACGCCAAAGACGGCGAAAACTGGCGAATGCGAACCTAGCTCTCTGTATTCGTGCTGAAATTTCGTCGGAGATCAACCCGTTGGGGCTGATGGTACTTCCCAAGTAAGTGAAGCGGTCAACGTGTTCTACCACTTCACATCCTATTTCTAATCTAGGGGTCGATGAAGTCCAATCCTGCAGCATCATCTTACATTTTATAGGGGCGAATCGCATGCCAAACATGCGGAGATTGTTGCTCAGGGTGTTCAGTAGACTCTGCATTTTGTCAGAGTCCTCGCCTAGAAGGACTATATCGTCCGCATATTCTAAGTCAACGAGATTCTTCCCTGGTAGCAAGTCAATCCCTGAGTCGCTGAAGTGAGTTAGGGTTAAGTCCATTAGTACATCTATGATGAAATTGAATAGGAATGGGGATAATGGGCATCCCTGACGGACGCCACTAGTCGTCACCACTTCAGATGACAACTCGCCATAAGCCCTCACCTGGCTGCATGAGTACGAGTAGAGTGCCTTAATCAGTGCAATGTATTTTCTTGGCATTCCCTTTACAGCCAAGCATCGCCAGAGAACCTCCCGGTCGACAGAATCGAATGCCGCTTTTAGGTCAAGAAATATAATGATTGTCGGACGCCGGTAGGAATGCCTATGTTCTAGAATCTGTCGAAGGGTGAAGATGTGATCAATACACCCTCTACCTGGCCTAAAACCTGCCTGGTTTTCTCGTGTTTGTGTCTCCCGAGCACCACTTAATCTACGCAGTATTATTGAGCCTAGGATTTTAGATACTATATTAGTCAAGCTAATCCCTCTGTGATTATCACAAGACGACTTGTCCCCCTTCTTGTATATCGGGATGATCAGTGACTTACACCAACCCGATGGGACTTCCTCTGATTCCCAGACGCTGCCTAGAACCTCCGTTAACGCAGACAGTAAACTGACGCCTCCGTACTTAAATATCTCTGGAGTCAATAAATCAGGCCTCGCTGCTTTGCCTAGCTTCAGATTGGTGACAGCTTTAGTAACCTCGGTTAAGGACGGAGGACCTGTGTCTATCTCCCATTCAGGGAGGTGTTGGATGTCCGGTAGGTTAAGTGTGGCTGTGGGCCAATTAAACTGCTCCTCATAGTGTTCTTTCCAGCGCTCCAGACGTCTATCTTGGGAGCTAATTATGGTGCCATTTTTCTCGGAGATTGTTTCGCTTATCATTTGCCTTTTACCACCTGTTTCCCTGATAAGCCTGAATAGTTGTCTGGTGTTGCCTATCGCCGATGCTTTTTCCATCTCTTTCGCCTTTGTCAACCACCACTGTTCACGGTCCTTGCGGAGACTTTTCGTAAGTTTCCTCTTGTGCAGCTTTCGCTCCTCATTGAATTCGGAGCTCGCCGGGATAAGTCTTCTAGCATCTATCAGTTCGGATGAGGCAGTCGAAATCCAGTGGTTTTTACTCACCTTTGGAATTACCTTATTCACAGCTTTTACAGCTGTATCTATGGCTGACTGAATATTCTTCCAGGCTTCTTCAGGGTGAGCGCAGCTGTCAAACTCAGATATGTGTTTAGCTAGTTCTTCCTCAAATAGGGACTTAGTTTCCTGATCGAGCTGGGGACGTGATGGGTTTACCGCCAGCTGTTTCCTACGTCCGTTCAGTCGTAAGCACACACGAGCGCGGACCAGTGCGTGATCGGTATCTACACACGTGTTCCAGAAGGAGCGACAATCCCCTACCGACCCACACCAACGATAGCTTATTGCTATGTGGTCTATTTGTGTCCAGCGTTGGTTTGATGATGGAGGTCGCCAGGTCAAACAGTGTCTCTCCTTGTGTTTGAAGTTAGTGCTTACAAGAAACAAATGATTATCTGAACAGAACTGTAGGAGACGGTCACCGTTGTCGGTTCGCTGGCACAGAATTCCGTATGTGCCACCAACATTCTTCTCAGATTGACACAATTTCCCTACTTGAGTATTAAAGTCACCAGCTAAAACGACTATATCTGAGCGTCTAGCCTTTCGCAGCAAACTAGACAGCTTTTGGTAGAACTCATCCTTCGTTTCATCCGAACTGCAGTCAGTGGGGGCGTAGGCGGAGATTACGAAAAGGCATCGGCGAGTAGTGCAGTCCTTTCTCCTTTTCACTGATCCGTTCAGGCGGACAGCGCACATTCGGCTATCTACCGGGATCCAGTCAAGTAATGTCTTTTCTGCTCTAGTACTTAAAGCTATCCCAACACCAGCTAATCCTCGTGAGCTAGCCGTTGCATCTCCTGACACCCTCAAGGTGAATTTTGCAGATTCATCCTGTTGGCCAGGTGGGGTTAGGTGAATAACCACACTTGGGTCCTGTATGCGTGTTTCTGAAACACAACATACATCAATGGCTCGGGATGCCAGAGTCATGGCTAGTGATGCTTGTTGTCCTATTTGGTAAAGTGTCCTAACATTAAATGCTCCTATATAAAATTGGTGGCGTGGTTTTAGGAGACAATCGGTGGTGGCTTTTTGGCTTCCCTCGTTATCAGTGCACACAGAGTGAAGGGGAAGTGAAGAGCCAACAAGTAGAGGAGTTGCATTGGTAGAAGGAAGGCAAGATAATAGAGATGAAGATGAAGACAAAGATGAGCGAGGATTAGAGGGGTTTCGCGTGCACTTCGGATTGTGAGGGCGATTGGTACTTCCCGGCTGCCCACACCGTGGAAGTTGGTTGCGTGACCGCAGAGCCCAGGGGACAACTGCTTGAGGCCGGTCACACACGGCCTGTTTTTATTTGTTCTTTTTTATTTGGTGTGTCTCAGTAGCATATTTATCACTTCTGCCCTGTGACACGGCAGCAGAAAGCGCGGTCGTTGTTAATCCGGGCCCCGACCGATCCGGCATGATATTTTGTGATTTATTTGAAATCATAGGATTGGATTGGGTAACTGCTTTTAGTCTAACTGCTATCCAAACAACCTTTCTGGCATGGTAGGACCTGCAGGAACATAAGTTCCAGCCAGTATAGCTTGTTGGGTCATTGCAGTGTTCAAGCCCGACCACCACGTCAAGGTAGCAGCTTTCGGTCGGGATTTGAATATCAATTAATGTGGTTTGTTTTTTCGAGTTTGACCACAGATTGATATCAGTTAGAGAACCATTGAAACCCAGCAACGAGTACTGAACAGTAGTTTCATCCTAGTTTGGGAATCATCGATAATATGTACCCACCACCAGGGTTCGAACCCAGGAGCTTCCGGTTACAAGGCAAGCTGGCACGTATACCGTTCAGCCACTGGGACCTGATTCAATGGCCCATGATTTTTAACTTCTACCAATTCGTTATTTAGCATGACCACCAACCAATGTCATCGGTGGGAACTCCATCTTCACTCGCGACTCGATGGACCTCACTGGTCACGACTTCTCACTAGAAGTCCAGGAAACTCCGTCCTGTATTAAGTCACTAGTGAGCATCAGATTAATTTTCAAGAATTGATTTGTAAGGATTAGATTTGTTTTTTCGAGTTTGACCAAATAAAGGATCAGAGTTCAGGGATGTGAATTAGTGCATAACAATCGAAGTGATTATCATAATAATAATGACAATAATAATAATAATAATAATAATAATAATAATAATAATAATGGGTGAATTCATTGAAATTAATTAAATTAATCCTTCTTGGACTTGGCGTAGAGACGTTGTAACTGATTTTGGTGTCTCATCCAATTTTCGTGCCCCACTTCTTCCTCGTAAATCATAGTTCCACGTTTAACTTTTGATCTGACATTCTATTCATTTTGCTCTTCCTGATCGGTAATCACAAGGATAGACCAGGTCACCCTGCTGGAAATATCCTACAGCAGTATTCCAATGATTTGGTGATGAAGGCAATATTGTATAGTGATGGTATGTCGCATTAAAAGCTCTGCCGGACTCTTTTTCCGTTCTGTTGTTGATGTCGTTGAGGTATACAAAAGAAATTTGTTGTATAATTTTCAGTGTACCCCGTCCCTCTGCTTTAAATATCGCAGTATATAACATAAAGTTACTCAGAGTTCTATTGTTTTGTTACTAAAATTTAACATTTTAACGCATCCTTGCAAATCGAAGGGTGTTTTCATGATATGTGATTCCTTTAAAGTATGTACTTTGGAAGAAATTTTTGTATGTATAGTCAGCAGTAACATTTTGAAGAATTAATGTTCTACGTATCCGGGGCTGAATTAAGCTCGTTTAAACTGTGTTTTCTCATACAAAACCATCTTTTCTAAATTCAAAAGGCTGGGAAACTTATGAATTCTAAAATAATCAGGACATAATTTCTATCATACAGCTAGTTCCGTTTATTAGTTTGAATAAAGAAAGAACGACGAACATATTTGCAGGATAGTGCTAGCTCGTTTTATTTCGTGGGTACTCTTCAACTAGTTAACCCAGTCAAAAGTAGATAATTAACCTGCTCATGTCAACTCCAACTGCATTCACCAATTCACCTTCACTTGCTGCAGCAAGTACAGAGAAAGAACCGAGAGGAGACCATCTACTAGGTTCTTCGAGCATATCCCTAAAAGTCTCCGTTTGTCAGACATCTAATTGACACGGGACATACAGTGGAAATCAGTCAGGCTCTTAAAATAATCCATACACAAAGAAAAGCATAGTTACTTCGGTTCGCAGAAGCCATTGCCATCAAAAGGTTTCGACCCGGCCTATGCATACAGAAAGATAGTGTGACTAATCTCTCACTACCTTGGTAACCTTAGTTGTTTTGCCCGTGTGATTTGTGTTTCGTTTTGTTGTGTAACATTCCCTCAATCTTGATTTCGACTTTCACTCACTGAGTTGAACTGAATAATAAGTTACCAAATATACTTAATAGTGTGTCTTTTTCATAAATTCACTACTCACCCCCCTCCCCTCTTGAATTCTCCACCGCAATATGTATAAATTCACTCTGTTGCTCAATCTTGTATTATGTCTCTAGTCCATCCTTGTTTCCAAGTGAAATCTGAACTCTACCCACCCCCTTGTCTAATAACTATATAAGTAGTTACTCTTTTAACACTAAATAATGGGTCTACTTATATCATCTTTGAAATTATGTTACTCATGCTTATACTTTCTACCTACAACTTGAAATCATTGTAAAAAGTATGTTCAGACAACATTTGGTAACATACAATTGATTTATTTAGGATGTAAGCAGTTGAAGAGGCAGAATCCACGAAATAAAACGAGTTCGTATTATCCTGTAAATGTGTGCTCGTTTTTTCTTTATTCAAACATAATTTGTTACTCAGGTGATTATTTTTTTATCTTACTGTATTTTCTGAGCTTGGATCGTTGAACTGTGTTGGTCAGAAAAGGTGACCACTAAAAACAAAAACAAAGAAAATCCTAGATTCATTTGGTGTTGATGATTCTCATGTTATATAATAAACACAACAAACAATTTCTATGCATTCATTCAGTTTTATGAGTTTTTTTGCCTCCTTTTTCATTTTTATTCTGTTTTTCCTTCCAGCCGTTGAAAACTCTTTCACGTGAACGTCCTATGCCGAATATATTCAACTTGTACACATTATTAACAGTATTTCTACAGTTTCTTGTCCACTTCTATGTATTGTATGCTTTAACCATGGAGGCAGAATTACGAATGCCTAAAACGTAAGTTCTATTTTATGATATATATAAGACGTTTTGTTTGTTGATATGTTTAGTTTTTAAGTACAATCTCCTGGGCAGGTATTAATTGGGTTGTACCAGCAACAAGTGTTTCAATTCTGTGCATTTTCACGTTTACTGTGTGTCTGCTTGGGTTGCGTTTTGTTTTTATTCGCCTAATGTAAACTGATGGGAATCTGGTGCTTATTGGTTTAAACACTCAACTATCCGAACTAAATGGGTCTCGAGTTTCTGAAACCTGCAATTGTATAGTACATCAGGCTGCGTACACTACTCGTTTGTGTTATTGTGCACGTAATTGTTGAGTGACAGTTCAGTGCTAAGTGCTCTAAATGGATTAATTATTTTGTCTTGTGTATTTCTGTCGTAATCTAAATGTAATGGATGTCTTTTTGAATTAGCTGTGTTCTCCCTAATTCAAAATCATCCACTTGAGCCACAAATCTTCTCGATTATTTCAAAATCTTACGAGTGATGGATGTCTGTTTATGAACTGGAGTGTATGATTCATAAAAATTAAGGTTGAGCAAAGATTGTTCTTCTGACTCTACATTATATATATTTTTTGAACGATATGTTATCGGTTAGTTTGTTGCCAGAGTTTCTTGTTGGTGATTCTTTCTGGCCAGGCATTTGATCTTCAATATGGAGCCAGCGAAGGTGGCAGCTGTTGATAAAAGTCTGCAGCAGTCTGTTGGAAATGCTTTCCGCGACGCTTTGGCCAAATCCCTAACTCGTATAGACGAACTGACTTCACATTTGTGTTGAAATTCTGAATCTTGTTGTTTATGCAGGCTTAATGCAGATCTCCAATCTGATTTCACATAGATGAAGGCGTATATTGCCTTTCCAATTATGGCTGGCTGGCTGACTTTGACATCTTCATCTATTCCGTCTGTAGTTGAAGCGATGCTTCCCAGATAAGTGAAGGAGGCAACCTCTGTTAAATCTCTCCCGTTGGTGGTGATTGGTGCTGGTTGTTGTTGCTGTTACTGTTCATTGGTTATCTTCATCACCTCCGTTTTCTCTGTGTCCACCTGCAGTCCTGTTTTCGCTGCCGGCCACTTCAGCCACTTTGTTGGTTTTCGCCTGCCTGCTGGTTTTCGAGTGTGTATGACATTAGACATATATCATCTGTGAAATCCAGATCTTCTAGAGTCTTGTTATCAGTGGTCCAGTGTATTCCTGACTCCTTGCCCCAACAGTCTGACGTATGATCCAGTCCACCACAATTAAGAATATCATCGGTGATAATAGACAGACAGCCTTGTCCTACTCCTGTTTGCACTTCGAACGCCTCGCTGAAATTTCCATTGTGGATCATCTGACATGTGGCATTGTCATACAGCCAGCTGTTGAATGAGGTTGACAAAGACTTGAGGTACGCCGTAGTGTTGAAGTAGTTACCAAATTACTTCTTGGTCAACGATGTCGAAGGCCTTTTCGAGATCGATAAAGTTGAAGTAGAGGTTTGACTGGCATTCTATTGTTCTGTGGTAATGATGCGTAGAGTTGCAATTTGATAAGCTCATGATTTGCCTTTCCTGCATCCAGCTTGTTCCGGCTGGCGGAGTTTTGCATCCAGTGCATCTTTTATTCTCTCCAGAATGACACGACTTAGTCTTTTACTTGGCGTGGACAACAACATTATTCTACTCCAGTTCTTGCAGAGGCCATAATTCTGTGCAGAATTCTATACTGGAACTCAGTTAGATTTATGTATTAATTGATCAGTTGCATTGAATGTTTTAATGTTAACATCTGTTCATTTTTGTGATGTATATTTATTGTTTATGTTTTCCAGGGATGATGGATTTGTGGATTTAAATGCTGAATTCGAACCTTCAATTCTAAATACCTTGGTGTATTTGATTGCAACTGGAATGCAAGTATGTGACCTGCACATATATATATATCCTATTCTACTTTTATGTTAGCTATGGTTTGATCCGGTCCAGTAGACATCTGTTCATCGGATAATGAGATAGACTAACAATATTAAGTGAAAGCCTATATTCAAGTATAAAAAAGGAAAATGATTTGAATAGTAGTAATGTGATTGTCAGTGGTACAGTGGCAGAATGCTTGGCAATCACGTATGTAGTCCGGGGTTCGATCCCCGGCCGATGCACTCCTTTACCTCACTAAGCCAGTAACAAGACTGGTAAAGAGAGGGAAGGTTGGGCATGAGGCTAGCAATCCCAATCCTGTAGAAATAATCACCACTGCTACCGAAACTTGAAATCCTATGTCCCACTGTGATCGTAAGAATCTTTAAGTGTAATGTTTCAGGCAGTTGACTTTTCCAAAGATGTTTTTAGTAGAACATCTTTTGCTTTATTTTTTGTTGTATTTACTAGGTTGATGTTGACTCACTTGCGTACAGAGATGAGTAATTGGATACCACTTACATCATTCAGTAGTAGTGTTTGATGTGGTGCTCAGTTTCCAGAGGAAAGAAACTATGTAGTGAAATTCCAGGTTGAACTGTGTGAATTACAAATTGAACATTTGAGAAATTAATACAATTCATTTGAAGTTTGACCATGGATTGATATCAGTTAGAGAACTATTGGAAACCAGCAGGGAGTACTGTGGATGGCTGTTTCGTCCTAGTTCGGGACTCATCTCTCCCCTCGGGGTTTGAATACAGGACCTTCTGGTTACAGCAGACCATTCAGCCACCTGGACCCGACTTAATGGTCAGCCCATGGATTCTAACTTCTACCAATTCGTGATTTTACGGCAACCACCAGCCAATGTCACTGGCGAGTATTTGTCCTCATCCCACTTGTCATGACTTCCACTAGAACTCCAGGTAACTTAGTCCTGTAGGCAGTTTCAAAGGAATCCTATTGGGTGCCTACTGCCGAAGAGTCCCAAACTACAACTAAACAGCTGTCCAGTACTCCCTGGTTTTCGATGGTTCGCTAACTGATATCAGTCCACGAGTTCTATCAATGCGTGACTCTACTTACTCCCTCCCAATATACTTTGTTGTAATCTATCTAGTAGCCAGTGTAAAATTCGCTTCAGATTCAGTGTAAATAAAGGTATAAATGTTAAAGATATGACTGCATCGATTAAATGTAACGACCAAAACTGACGTATTGTGATCTGAACTCAGGCAATCAATCTTTGCGTTCGACTGTATAAGTGATCCAAACCTCCCGGAGTTACGTACAATCATAAAAATGTCCCGATGATAATAAAACAGACAGTTATTTCCGATAAAATCTGAGGTATTATTTAACAGTGACAACATATCAAATAGCCAAAATTACCTCAAAAATGCCGTTAGTCAGCTTTACAGATCGAATTCCTCCTCAGTTACTAGATAAGTACTGTAGAACAAGAAAAATTGGTTAACCGAAATTCAACTGTAAGAAATACTTGGGAATCAAGTAGAATATTCTAAACAAGGTAGGGTCAGAACTCTGTTAGCAAGCATCACGCACCAAACACTTCCTGCAGGCAGCTCAAGGTCATAATGACCTTGATTCACTCATATAATCGATATCATCACATAACATCAGAGATTGAACAGGATCAAAGACAAATAATGAGGATCAAGTCAACATATGATATGCAAACGTCAGAACAGTGATATTATAGCCTAGGAGAAAGGAGGAAAATAACCACAAAGTTAGTTGAAATATATTCAAATAAGCATCAATATTGTAATTGGATAGTTCGGTTACAATGAGTGTGTTCTAGTTCCTATCAGGAATTAGCAAATGGTCTTCGCCTAACGGCCTTAAACTAAATCCTTCCAAATGTCAGACTGTTAATTTCAGTTTCCGATGTAAACGAAAGTTAAATGAAGCCGTTGGTTCCTATGACCCTTGCAAAATCGATGATACTGATATAGAAACCAAGTTTGAAGTTAAGTATCTTGGATTAATTCTTTCTTCTGACCTATCCTGGTCCTCCAATGTCTTAGCGATTTCTAAAAGAATATTTCTTCTGACTTTTTACATTGAGAAGTTGAGGCACTCAGGCATAACCCAACCACTCCTCTTACAGTTTGTCAACTCGTGTATTTTACCTATTCTTCTTTACTGTTCACCCTTATTCTATGCTGGATTGCTTAAAAAAGACTATGTCATACTTCGTAGAACTCTTAAGACTGTCATTAGAACGAATGGTATCCCACTGGGCTATATCGTTGACATCGTCATTGATAGGCACTTGATTTCATGCAACAAATTTATTAAAGGAATTTTGTCAGACTGTGAGCACCCAATCTACCCGCAGTTCCAACCTTGTGTCTCCTCAAGTAAAACAAGAAGTCTTTACAGAAGAATTTATGCACGTACGTCTAAGTATGAAAATTCCACTATACCATATTTGGCACGTATTTTATGTGACGAAAATAGTGCTAGGCATAAACTAACTAACCTTCTTTGCACTACTAAATAGACCATTTTCTCCACCCTCATAATATCATCCTTTATTTTTTTTGTACTTCTTATATTTATTATCCTCTCAGCTTTTGCTTTTAATTGTTTATTTTTTCATAAGTGTGGAAATCATTTAAGCTGTGTTACAACTGTTAATTGTGTATTCCCCCACACCATACTATATTAACAGAACATTAGATCCAATAATCTATAACATGCCAAAATTTTCAAACTGAATCGACAATACTGTTTGAAACAAACTCACTGTTATTATTATCATTAATATATTTATTATTCTCATTTTGTACTTCGGATATTTTTGATTTTATACCTTACATGTGAACAAATTCCTCTGGTTGATTTTGTCTTAATTTTTAATTTTATTTATATTTTATGTAAATCAGATGCAACGTTGTGATAAATTCTGAGAATTCCATTCTGTACTATAAGTACTGTCTTTGGAATAAAGTAGATTATTATTATTTTCCAATTTATGTGTTGACATGTATTGTGTGTTTTTCTTTGTTATGCTCCATTCATCATAGACTGCAACATTGGCTGTGAACTATGCCGGACATCCATTCATGGAATCGTTAACTGAGAATAAACCAATGTTAATCTCTTTGATTATTGCTGTTGTCGGACTACTGGTTCTACCCTTTCCTCCATTCGCTGGCTCACTACAATTAGTCAGTTTGGATTCTGATGTAAGTTTTGTTTTGTTTTGTTCGGAAAACACTTTAAATGAGAATTTATGTCAGTTGTGTATCGGGTTTAATCGGTAGGAAGCCATAGAGACGTAAGTTTTGTTCTTATTAGCACATGTCAGCAAACATTTTAAGTTACGAATCGGTTGACACGGAAAGCAAACTAGAAGTTTTCAGACGAGAGAACGTTTAACATCTGAGTACTGAAATAGGCAGTTTGTAAGAATGAAAGAAGTTTTAACATTAAATTGTCACTGTGAAACTAGACAAGAGGAAATTCCAGTCAAATGATGGCTAATTGCAGGTTTGGTTACGAGCTAATATCAGTTAGAGAACCACTGGAAAGCCAGGGAATAATACTGGGCAGCTGTTTCGCCCAAGTTTCGACCTTTCAGCAGTACTCACCCAATAGGGTTCAGACCGAGAACCTGCTGGCTACAAGGCGAGCTCTTTGACCATTCAGCCACTAGCCCATGAACTCTTTCTTCTGTCGATTCGCGATATACATAACACAACCTCCAGCCAGTGTTATAGCCGAGTAAATGTTCTCTTATCTGACTTGGTGGATCCCACTGGTTATGATTTCTCTCTAGAATTCGAGGTTACTGCCTGAATCAAGCCAGTCAGTAGCTGATGAACTTCAGACTAATGATCAAGTGTTGGTTTGCAGGGATTCGATTGGTTTCAGATTTGATCACGAGCTGATATAAGTTAAAGAACCATTGGAAGACCATCGCTATTCGATCGGTTCCCAATGGCTGAATGATCTACGAGCTCGCCTCTTAACCGAGAGATTCTGTGTTCGAAACTCGGTAGGCCTGTCCTACTGAGGAGCCCCAGTGAGGAGAGATGAAACCGCTCCCCACTACCGCCTCCTGGTTTTTGAATGGTTTTCTAAATGATGTCTACACGTGATCAAACCTGTAGCCTATCACATCCATGAAATCAACACTTAATAAATAATAGCCAAAGCAAAAGTTTAAAGCAAACTTAAAGTACATTGATATTCAAGTGTTGGTTTGCAGGGATTTGATTGGATTCAGGATTTCATCATGAACTGACATCGGTTATAGAGAGAACCGTTGGAAAACCTGAGAGTACTGGGCAGCTGTTTCGTCCCAGTTTGGGACTCTTCATCGGTACGCATCCACTGCCAGGGTTCGAACCCAGGAGCTTCCGGTTACCACACTTAATGATCTACGAGCTGGTCTTGTAACCTTGCCTTGTTATTTGTTCACTGGGTTACCTAACCTGTCACATGTTGTAATGGTGCCCTCGTCACTTTTAGTCGCCAGATCCGTCGAGGGCAATAGGATGGTTTGAGACCGAATGATTGTGTGCAAGGTTTAAGGAAGAAGCCTGTATATTATATGCATGCGTCTTGCACTGATAATGTCTTCTCCAGTAGGTAATATCGACGCTATGCATCGAGTGTTGTGTAAGGAGAGATAGTCAGTCGATGAAACTGTGAAGCTGTCGTCTTCCTCGACGGGCAGTTTTAACTAATATGAAATCAGGTTGTAAAAGAGTTAGTGGTGGTCAGACCAAAACAGTTAGTTTGGGCCACGTATGGGGAGGTGTAGGCTTCTTTGTTGAGTTCCTTGGGATTCTAGGAACCAATGGCTTGAGACTGTTGGCGATATGATTGAATATGCAACACGTCAAGTTTGGAGAAAAAATATTCAACGGGACTGGAATGTATGGGGAATAGAATAAGTATGTGGGAGAATAATGACGATTCTGGGAGTTGTTCATAAATGAGTCAGTGAATCTGAGCCATTGAAAACAATTTTGAACCTTGTCACCAGCAGTCTCAAGCCATTAGTACTCAGTGTCTTGGGGGACTCCAACCAGATAGTCTACAACCACAATAGCCAAAGTCTAAATGGATTGATGCTAGGTTTTGATTTGATCACTGTTAAATCTTTTTCCAACAAAAATCGATGTCTTGCAGTCGTAGCACCAGTTGCAACTAAAGTAATTTAAAATTCTGTTATCGACCAGTAGAATGAGGTTTACATGTGCTAACACTTTTCACTTCACCGAAAATTCGCAGTTTTTCTCACCTTATCTGTTGCGTAATCCCTGTGTTTTTGTCTTGTAGTGTTTCTTCACCTCTGTATTAATTAATTAATTAATTAATTCGAGTATTGACATATTCGTAGGTGTTTACATGATTAGTCATGGTATTGTGTTTGTTCTTAACTTACTGCCTAACCATATTTAGCGTTCCACATGACTAACGATATACTATATGTTTATTATTACCACTATGCCCTTGGGTTCCTGGTGAAATCTAGGACTTCAGAAAGCATATCGTCATTTCACTCTGTCCTCTGCAGTCTTCTTTTTTTCAAAGCTGACTCCATGATTCCCCATGAGCATTTGTTTGTTCCTCCACATCACCATTGGAGCTACGTCCATCGCGTTGTTTCCCAATCGGTTCCAACTTGAAGACTTGGTGCGTGATGTTATTCAACGATCTCATCAGTGTGTTTGTGTGTGTGTGTATGTCTCCAGTCCGTCTCCATTCCCTTTCGCATGTTTGTTGGGTAGTAAATTCTTGGTCAGTTTGTAAAACAAGAACCAATCGCTCAATAAATATGCAGAAGAAAGTGGAGATGGATTGGACACTCGCTGAGAAGGCCGCTGGGTGACATCGCGCGTCAGGCCATAGCTCGAGTGGAACCCGAAAGGGAAGCGGCGAGTGGGACGTCCAAGGGTGACACGGAGGAGATCGTGTGAAGAGGAGTTGAAACAGTATGGACTAACATGGATGCAAGTGAAAAGTACAGCACAAGACAGAGGCAAGTGGAGACGTGTAGTTGAAGCCCTATGTTCCACTAGGAACCCAAGGGAACAATAATAATAATGGTCAGTTTGTTGCCAGAGTTGCTAATCCCTTCCGGTTGTCTGATCTTCAGTATGGAGGCAGTTGGTGATGAAAGTCTGCAGCAATCTGTAGGAGATGCTTTTCGTGACGTACACCATATAAAAGAACTAAAGCTGGAATATAATAGTCTATATTTATGTCTAAAAAATTATTCTCTGGATACCTTTAGTTGTCTTCAAGAAGAATGAGGAATATTGAGTCATATTAATAGTAGTAGTAGTAGTGTGTTTTACTCTGTTTATTGATTTTTTCTGTTAAGTGTTAGCTTCAATGTGAAAAAAACATGCTATGAAATGAAAATTATTATCAATAATTTTGTTTATCTTTGATTGAGTTCTAAGTAAGATTGTTTGTACACTTACACTGCTTGTATCACAAATAATTGTTTGTCTAAATTGTTTGTTGTTTATTTTCTCTCTTTTTTTATAATTTTCTCCCCCCCTCTAGCTTCGTATTGTATTTTTCAAAGCATTGATATTTGATTTTGTTGGATCTTGGCTAGTTGATCGTGTATTACTCTTTGTATTTGGTCGAGTTAGTCAAAAGTCTCTGTAAAAAAATAAAACACCAATTACTTCGTGTGTACTATTGATTATCACCGCATCACATACATGCAGATAGAGACATAGATGCCTATCTACAGTTTTTTCTGCTGTATAGTGTTGATGACAGTTCACATTCTGTTTCTGTCTTCATTTCTTTTTCTCCTGTGTGTACACATGCTTGTTTTGTTTTCAGGGGTATATACATCTCTACTAATAAAGTGTTGTACTTTATCTATCTGTTTGTTTGTCTGTATTTATTTACTGTAATTTGTTTGTCTGTCTGTCTGTCTTTCAATGAACAGTACTCAACGTCATCATCATTGTCATCGTCATTGTCAGTTCTACTGATGGTTATTCCGCAAACAGCACATGTTAATTCACACTCTGGCTTTATGACATAATTTTGTTGTATAGAGGTGTGTGAGTGAGTGTGTAATGCATGTGTTAGAAACGTGTAAACTTGTTATTGTTGTTGTTATTGTTGAAAAAACGTGTTTTCCGTTCTTCTATTACTTGTCTATTTTTTTTTGTAAACGTCTCTCTTTAATGCAAAGAAAACTCAAGCCAATTTGTTTCTCTTTCTAATACTCTGTTATATGTCTTTACATGTACTTCTTTCCTGTGTGTGTGTTCATATTAGTAGTGGTAGTGCTTGAAAGAGTTTGCTTTTCTTCTAAAACTAATAATGCCTTATGGTCTTTCATCCTTGTGTTATTGTCATTCTTATGGAATACTGACATTATTAATACTAACTACTATTACTACTACTACTAATAAATCTTGGTAATGAATTGTTACATTGTATATAGAATTTTAATCGATATCTTATACAATTGATTTTATTGTTTTTAGTTTCCTGATTTTTCTGGTACACCCTTTCTGTCTTCATTCCCTTGTTTGTTTTTTTACGTTCCAAACATGGAACATGGTGCTACAAACCCCGTTTTGAAGTTTCATTAGAGCGGAGGTAGGTGTTTTATTTTACAGGGCACGGGGTTGCTTGCCTCACGCGAAAACACTGGCTAAGTGAGGTTTAAAGATTGTGTGTTTGTGTGTTTGTGGTTGGTGAGCAGTTCTACCATTGAACAACCACTGATGTGGCCCCGCCTCCCTTTCTGTAATTGTTGACTTCCACTGCTGTCTGTCTCCTCTCTCCCTCTCCTTGTCTTCTCGTATCTCTTCGTCCCTTTTGCTGATGGGTTCTCCTCTTATCCATTCGTTCATTTTGTTTTGTTCTTGAGGGACTTTTTTCCATGATTCGTTCTCAGTGTTAGTGTGTGTGGTGTTTCCGACGAAGAAATGTAGGGAGAGAGGCAGGTTTGTTTATTTCTTAACTGAATATTATCTGTTATTGTACTCTTGTGATAATGTTGTTCACATTATTTGAGTTTTTAAAAAAAACGGATATTTGGTGGCTATAATCTATTTTATCATTATTATTATTAATGACTGTCAATAGGTGTGCATCATGTTTGTTTAATTGATTTATGGGTGGAATAAATAGTGTGTAGTATGTTTGTATAATCATTATATAAAAGCGAAAAAAGCAACAGTCAGATTGTTTCTGTATTTCCTTGTTATTGTTGTTGTTGTTGTTGTATTGTTGAATAAACTTTTCAGTTTTTTGACCATTGCCTTTTTGATATTCAGACTATAGAATTTGATAATATTAGATAGTTGGAGGCAATCGGCAGGAAGCCTTGGACCTAGGTTTCGTGCTAGTTGGCACTCCCCAGTCAGCAAGGCGTATCTGCAACCTTGAAGGAACTCATGTCCCTTCTGAGATTCGAACCCGCGTCACCCAGTGAGCACTGCAGTCAGAGACGTTACCACTGAGCTATTTGGGCTCACAGTTGACCTCCTGTAGGACTGTAGTGGGTATTTTCATTGGACACTAGTAACTAGTGTGACGTATCTAGTCCTGCCGATTGCCTCAAACTATATAATATCATCAAATCAATGTGCACCGTGATGGCGAGCTACCTAGAATGGTGGCCACATTGCAAAACCTGACTGATAGAATTCAGTGTGCACCAAAGAAAGGACTAGACAAACACGTCACACTAGTTACTAGTGTCCAATGAAAAGACTATAAAATTTATGGATATTTTGGATTAATTACAGTTGCTGGATTTCCATCAACATTAGTTAGAGTGGTCATTGAAAACCAGGAAGCATTAGACAGCTGTTACATTTTATCCTGGAACTCTACAGAAGTGTGCACCTGTTACCCCGCTAGGAATCGAACCCAGCACCTTCAGATTGTGAGATCCAGCTCGCTCACCATTCAACCATTTGGCCTGGAATTCAGATGACCCATTAATTCTAACTTTGATACAGCACTGTTCCTTATGAAATTAAAATTCAAGGGTCGTCAAATTCCAGCACAAGTGACTGGACGGTCAGCAAACCTGGTCTCTTAGTCTGAAGGTTTTGAATGGGTGTGCACTGATGAAGAGTCCCAAAACAGGACGAAAAACAGCCCTTCACTGGTCTTCAATGACCTGTCTAACTGAGGTAGGTTTGTGACAAAAATCTACCAAATAAACTTGCCCTGTGTCTTATTTATTAGATAAACATGAAATTTAGCAAAAATATTCATTCAGACATCTATAAAACACAAAATAATCGGGCAAAGAATATTCTTTTCGATAAATTCGTCTTCCAGGCTCTACAGTAATATATATGTTTATATACATAGAATATTTTAAATTAGTAGTTAATAACAATATTAGTGTCTTTTAAATAATATCGATTTGTAAAGTATGATCAGTGAAATTACAGTTGATTAAAGATGCCTAAATTATGATAATAATAAAGATATAATAGCGAATAGAATGTCAACTGAAATTAGGGAAATTTCACAAAAATTCCGGAATATTCAAACCTGGATGGCCAAGGTAATGATAATGACTGAACTAACTTCTTTTGGATACATAAGTTAGGCTTGTTAATATGGATCCCCACAGCATCAGCAATATTTAGAAGACGAACTCCTAAAGCGAAATTGAGATTCGTAGGTATGCGGTAAATGACCCTGAAAGCATGGTTAACGTCAATCTTGTGTTCTGTTTCCACAAGATGAGCCAGAATAGCGCTGCGAATAGATTTTGTTTGTCCTTTGCTTAACCAGGCAGGGTGATGTTCGGAAATTTGACGGGAAACACGTCTAATTGTACGGCCTATGTAACTGGCTCCACAGGAGCAGTTAAATTGGTATATACACATGGAAGAGGCGAAATTAGGTAGTTTGTCTTTTACTCCCGAACGCAGAAGAGGAGTGGTTTTAAAGAAACAGCGTAATTTGGCATCAGGGAATGCTCTTTTTACCGCATTTCTGAGGCCCTGTGTTAGTATCTCATTTGTGTTGTCTCCTAGGAACTGCATTTGTAAGAATAAGGCCTTTTTGGAACTATTGGTACCTTGGGCTGCTTTGGTTTTAGATTCCTATTCTTATGAATAAAATTTTCTGGATAATCATTTTCACTTAGCAACCGTTTAATATTATTGAGTTCCTCGTCAAGACATTCATCCGAGCAGATTGCTCTTGCTCTGTGAACCAAGCACTTTATCAGATTGCGTTTGTATTTTAAGGGCACGAAGCTGAGAAAATGAGTATACTGACCCGTTGATGTAGGTTTTCTATATACACTTCTTATTGCGCCATCCTCTTTTCTGGTCATAAGGACGTCTAAAAATGAAATACTAGAGTCTTTTTCTTTCTCAATAGTAAAATTTATTGCATCATTAAATTTATCCAGGATGTTCTTTGCTTCCTTTTCGTTCTTCATAATAAAAAAAGTATCATCTATGTACCGACAATAAAATTCGAGTTCATTAATAACATCCTTCAAAGGCCCATTTTCTAGTTTCGCAAGGAAAATGTCGGCTAGAATGCTGGTCCTAGTGGTGACCCCATTGCCACACCATCGATTTGTATATACAGTTCCTTATTGAATAAAAAGTGGACATTCATTGTACATTTCAAGAGAAGCTCTTTCATAAAAGATATAGGAATGCCAACATCGATGTTTCGTCTTTTGAGTTCTTCGCATATAAAGTCCACTGTTTCCATGAGAGGTACATTGGTGAATAAGGAAGATACGTCAAACGATATCATGAATTTATTATCAACATTTAAATTTCTTATCCTTTCAACGAATCCAAAAGTATCCTTTACACTATGTTTCACCAACTCAGTATGAAGGGGCTGTAAGAGTTCGACTAACCATTTGGCTACAGGATGGTATGGTGAATTTAGCATATCTAATACTGGTCGCAGCGGTACACCATTTTTGTGCACTTTAGGCTAGCCATATAGTCTTGGTGTGAACGTTCCGGTGGGTTTAAGTGATTTGTACTGACTCTATGAGCTGAAATTGTTCTCTAGTGAAGTGTTATCGTTAGGAAGTCGATAAGAGTTTAGATATGTGGCGCATAGCACAATTAGCCTTAATTGTTTTGTTAATAATAAGACATACTTAGGTATATTATTCTTTGTACAGTGTAATCCAGAGTGGTGACTGACTGGGTATAAAGTTGATATAAGAATAAAACTTGTATACTGTGGTAGAGTATAACTCCATTATTAGTATAGAGTTGTTTAATGGAATTGTCAAGCGTAACATTAAGTCTTCCTTTTTTTGCGTTTATCAACCACTAAACTTTTATGATCAAGGTAGGGTGTTATAATTTAGGAAGTATACATGAACAATAATTAATCATCTTATAAGTTCTTTTGTTTAAATTTGAACATGGATTTTTTTGTCGTAATACTTTCCTTTAGAGTTATTTGGACTCAGAAAAATAAAACATAGGAAGTATCTTAAAATAGAGTCTTTACATACAACAACAAAACTTGTCAGTTTAATTGAGGAATTCATAGTATGCCAGATAATAAGTAGGAATAAGAGAGTATTATCAAAATAAATCGAGTGCACATAGACAAAATCTACTGAAAGCCAGCTAGTAGGAAGGCATTATGACCAGATGGAATTCCTCGGGAAGCACTGCAAATGGATCTGGAGATCGTAATGGATATTCTCATGCCACTATTGCAGAAAGTTTGGAAGGAAGGAGAGATACTTACTGATTAGAGGGAAGGTTACCTTGTCAAATTACTAAAATAGGATGACTCTATCCTTTGAAAAGATTGTCATAGAATCATCTTCCTGGCCACGCTGAGCAAAATATTAAGTTGCATCATCTTGGAGAGATTAAAAGATGTTCCGGATACAAAACTCCACCCGGAACATGTTGGATTAGAGAAAAGCAAATCACGTAAGGATCAAATAGCAAACCTAAGCGCTATTATCTAACAGAGCAAAGAATGGTTTTCAAATCTCCACCTCAACTTTATTGATTTTGTAAAGGCCCTAGGTAGTGGTGACAGTGAGGTAATTTGGAAACTGCTTCACAACACTTCTGAATGTCCAAAACCATTTGTCAGTCACATTCAACAGACAAATGATGATGCCGGAAAACTCAGAAAAGCCTTTGATGTGAAGACAGCAGTAAAACAAGGCTGCCTACTATCGACAATAATATTCCTGATTGTGGTAGACTGGAACATGTAGAATGCTGTAGGGAGCGAGAAGACAGAAATACATTGGGCTGCCAAGAAGACTAGAAGATTTGGACGATTTACGTCTAATGACTTACGGGCGACAAAGTTAGGTGGAGAGGCGGGCTGCGAAGACAGGATTTCGGGTGAACATAGAGTAGACAAAGTCGATGAAGATACCTAACCAAAAACAGCAGTGGGCACCAATCACTGTCGACGTAATAAATTTCAAGGAGGTCACTTGTCTAGTCAACATCGTTTCGACCACATGCGATACGGATGAGGATTTCAGAGTCATTACTCTGGCCTTGGTGTGGAAATGTGCTGTATTCAACAGACTCAGCTTTTGAACAATAATATCAAGCCATTTCTTCTACATAGTTTAGAGATTTAGCGCGCGTGCCACACACAGCAGGTTGCTGCAGACTTTTATTGACAGCTGCCTTCACCTCATACTGAAGATTAGATGGCTGGCTAGAAAGAAT